GAACAGGAGGGGTTACGCAGGTTTTGGTCTATGTTTCCACTTGCCAGGGTTCCATTTTGGTACCGTTTTTTTGAGCCACAGCCAAGTGCAAAAAACAAAACTTTTAGATCGAACTTCACCAAGAGAGGTCCGATGAGGTCCGCCCCCTGCCCGAGTCTTGCTCCAAGCTGCAACCTGTCAGCAAATAACAATGCCCATGTTTTCAAGACCCAAGCAAGCTGCAAGGTAGGCACAAGAAGCCCGGGTGAGTGCTTAGGAAATCACGCACGTTGAAGTCTGCTTTGGGAACAGGTGGAACCCTGAAAAAGGCCAACCACAGCCCAACAGGGGAAACCGTCCCCTGGCGCGATTCCGTTGGGGGGTCTTGGAAAAGGGCGAACGAATCAGATCGCAAACCTGCAATCCAGGGTCATGGGTTCGCCTGTTGGAACCTTGACTACGTGGCTCGTCTTTTTCGCCTTGGCGATTCTTTGGTTTTGTCTTGAAGAGAAACCAAGGGGGAAAACCAAACATTTTGGAGGGGTCCTTTAAAAAGGACACAGCCATATTGACCAACATAAGGAAAGCCAAAAGGTCAAAAGGTCGGTTGGCAACTGGCAACCTGTCCTGATTTTGCCTGCGCTAGGCTTCGCCAACCTCTATCTAGGAATCTGTCAGAGCCCTTCATTATTGTCAGCTTCCTTTACCCAGGCGAGCTCGCCAAATGGAGGGTGGGAAACCCCACTTGGGCATTGATCGATTCATGTTGGGGCAATCCCACTAAGCCAATGATCTCGGGAAACCTTGTTGAAAAGCCCGCTCGTGTTTGGGTGCTGTCACAGAGTCGAGCGACAGTTGACCTTTTGGTATCTTGTTTTTGAGCCCCAGTGCAATAATTATTGTCCCCCAAGGAGTGGAATTTGAGTGTGCCCGTCATGCCCTCCCCAAACTGACAATTGCCAATCTAGTTGCGTGCTCCTTTGTTTGGGGATACAGGTTGCGTGTTGTTGAAGGGACATCAGCCACTTTGTGCTAGCCGTACTTTCCCCATGTTCTTCAGGGATCCCTTTCTTCAAACAATCCCTTTCTTCAAACAATGGTCCAACTCACAGAGGGAACCAAAATACGGGCGTCTCTAAAGAGAAGGATGAGTCGATTTGGAGAATGGGGAATCAACCCTTCAATTTGGCATGTTTCCCATTTGGATCTGTCTTCACATAGGAGGACCCGAACGAAAATAATTGTTTTCCCTTTGGTGTCCCTTTAACCCGAAGGGAAAAGGGTACGGACCCGAAAAAAAGGCGCTGTTTTTCCTTTGGGCCTCTAAACGATGAAAAGGGTACCTCAAAAACCTCCGTTGCACAGCCCTTTTGCGACCATGTCGCTCTCAAAACGTCCAGTCCGGTCAGGTCGCGGCACAGAGCACTAGGACTCAGGGCTTCGAATTATGTGACACGCAGAGTTCGGCTTGAGGCTGGAGCCGGGTTCCTTCACTTGGCTGGTGATTGGAACTTACCACTTTGCTCGTTTGGTCCTTGGTAAGTGGTTGTTTTTCTTCCCTGCTCGTTTGCTCGTCCCTTAAAACCAGCCAGTTGGTGGTTCACACAAATCCCCCTTTCTGATAGTGTTCAACTTTGTGTGGAATGTGTCACAAATCCAACTCCAAACGCTAAGCCAAACGTCTGAGTGTATGGCTGGGAACCGCCAAGTTTAGTTTTGCAACTGACTGAACTGGGTGAAACTGTACAAGTTTGTCAAAAGGGATAAGGGCTCCTAAACTACCCGGAAGGTACCCCGCTCGCTTGCAAAGGACGTAAAACTCCTTGTGGGCTTGGGCTGCTCTTTTTGTGGGGAAGCCATGAAACAAGCAGGAACAGAACGGATGCCACTGAACAACTGGGAAGAATTCAATTTCAACGGACCTGTAGACGGGGATCCCGATATCCTCGAAATCAGCTCGTTAATCGCGGGAGATGTTGCTAAGATTCAGGTGAACCTCTGGATGTAGCCACTCTTCAAGCACATGGCAAACAAAGTGTTAGTCCAAAACGCAGCCAAAGCGAACAAACGGACCCTATGGATAAAATGAATGACTTCTTGTTACCTTCCTGCAAGATCCATTCCCAGGACGCAAAACGTGCACTGGAATCTTCAGACTCATAATGTGGTTGCAACATCGCTGCGGTGATGGCAACAGCCAATGCAAAAATAGCTGACTGATTTGCCCAACACCTTCTGTGGCCAGGGAGTAAAGAAGTGGTTCACTGTCAACCCTCAAGGTAGCAACTAACAGCTTGTAGCCGTTGACGTAATCTACAATTCGTCGCCCCCTTCCTCTTTGTGTTTTGTGCTTTGCCTGAAGAATTCATATATGTTTGTTTCCATCTTTTGCACCAGGCCAAGAATTCAATCTTCGGGTTTGTCTCAAACTTAGGAGTCGAAAAGTGGTAACTACTCCCGAAGCAACTCTGGTGAAATACCACAACGGCTACCCTCCCAAAAGTCTCCCGAAGAATGATCGGCAAATGTCGGCCTCAAGCGCAAGTTCCTGCGAAGCTGACAAGTCCTACAATTCAAACACGTCAGATGCCAATCAGCAGGGCGTATATCTCGGTCAACATCACTCGGTTGCTTTCTGCTCCCCTGCTAAAAGTTTAACTTTTAGTGGTTTAGTGGAAAACCCATTAGTTGGCAAAAAGTTAAAGTCCTAACAGCCAAGCAAAATGCACCAAAAATGATACTTGATGCTCGGAGAGTCAACACCACGTAGGCGCCATGATGTATCAGCATGCTTGTCGTTGGGTCCATTTGAGCCTTTGTTTTATGTGGTTCGGGGATTCTACGCTGAAGGGCTCCCTTCGCGAGGCTTCGTAACAAGGACGGTGGCTTCGCGGCGAGAAGCTCCGCGTGCAATCGAGGCACGCAAAGAGCCACACAAGTGCCTTTGGGAGTTCCCCTCCGGAGCTAAGATCCTCATGTAACACTTACATGGTGATTTGGATTGGTGGTTTTTGGATTTGAGCCCTGGTTTGTTTTGTGGAGGTTAATGGGAGCCATAACCTCACCACTAGTCCAAGGCACCAACTAGAGAGAAGCTGAAATGTCCAATTGCTGAAGTCCCTGTGAAAGAACACTAATTCCAGTAGTGATAGATTCCCATCAAAACCAACAGAGCCAACAAACAAAATCTTAAGCAACTGGAACAACTCCTTCATTTACAAAAAACACGCTGATCACTTGAAACCTCTGCTTGTTAAACGGCTCAATGGCAAAGGCTGTCGGAAGTTTGTACTGACAATGCCCCAGTTGCCGGCAACACCAGCCCGGCCCCCCCCCCCCCCCCCCGGGTTTTCCGGTGCCAAGTATGCAGCTTATAGGTGGGAGGCAGGCAATGTCAGGGGTTCTTAACAGTGCCTCATGGGATGGTGTGTTGTTTTGTGCAAAACTCAGTCTAGTCACCCTTTTGCATGCCATTCAATGCGGAATAATTTGTTTGGAAGCGATTCGGACCCAGCTGCAGCGGTCCCAATCGCTTTCTCTCAGGCCTTCTACGATTGCCACCTGACGGCACTTGGCATGGCAGGTCTTCGGCCATGCCTCCCTCCCCGCACGTGGCAGACTGCGCGTCGGCCGAAAGCTCCTGTGGAGCAAGAAGTTCGACGTGAAGCTTCAAGCGCACATCTGAAGGATTGACTGTAGATGGTGGTCCCAACAAAAAAGGTGTGTGTTTTCTTCGAGGGCACCCTTCCCGGCGTTGTTTCAAATGGAAACCACAACGAAAACCAATTTTTGAGGCTCCATCAATTTGAGACACATCCATATGAGCTGATAAGTCTTGCTCACCCGAACTGGAAGCTGACCAAAACTTGGTCCAAGTTTTGCTTGAACTGGCTCCAGCAAGGAATGCGTAGGTCTTCCGTTTGGTCGCTTCTTGGGGTTCTGGGCATTTGTTTTGCTCGTTTCAGATTTTGAGCGGAAAAAACTGAAATGAGCGGAAACCTTCGTTTGGCAGGATGTGGCCAGTTTTCTCCGGAACGTGAGCGGAAATCGGCGGGAAATGAGCGGACTTCAGCGGGAAATGAGCGCACATTGGCAGACACACAGAACAATTTCCAATCGAGCATTTTTCTAATTACGCGTGTTTGGGTGAACTGAGCCTTTTTTTCTCGAAACGGCAAAATGCAACACAAACCCGGGTAAGACCTAGGTCTTGGAACCCTTCGCACAGTGTTGCTCGGATATCCGTGACGACCATGGCTCCTCCAACGGAAATCCTCAACCCCACTCAAGTTTATACGGCTGGGTTATCGTATGCCGTACCCAGTTTTTCCTATAGTTACGCAGGGGCCCCCAGGGTTCAACTTTGGGTAGTGTCTTTTTCTTTTGGGGGGGGGGTGGATGGGCCCTTGACAACCATGGGATGGTTCGTTTTTTGGAAAGCTCATCCTGGGCCATTGCATGATCTGAGGCTTTTGCTTAATCCAAAGGCCAACGAACGTGTGCGTGCATGCGTGCATGCATGCAAGAGGGTGATTTCATGCTTAAATGAAGACTCAAATCCAGTTCACGCGTTCCAAAGAAGCGCTGCTTTAAGTCATTGTTGGGATATTCAATCAACCAGCAGCTTCCAACACCCATTGACTGTTGGTTCAACACCCAAAACGATGCAGCTCTCAGTGAGACAAAGTCGTTCCGTAACAATGAATCCACACAACCCATATCCAACACCCATGCCTTTTCCTACAGGATAGGGGGAGTACCTACTGCCACTCGAAGCTGAAGAATTCCTGCAGCTTTCAAGTCCGGATCGCATTCCTGAAGCAGGCGTATCACAACTGCCATCGCCTAGAGCTCCCTGAAACTTCCGATGTTTCTTTGCTTTGGCCTCAAAAGAGGAGGGCCTTCCTACTGGTCTGGCAAAAATTCGCCAGCCGCCTTTTGGCTGGGTTCGATGGGATCTGAGTCGGGTTTTCCTTCAAATAAAACTGAGAAGGGGCACCCCCCCTTCCGCCCAAATGGCCTCAGCGGATGGTGCGGCTGAGGCCGGAGACCTGGCACTAGGCAGATTCTGCGCCAACATGAGGGGCGCAGTCCAGGGTTTTGGCGAGTTGCGGGTTTTGCCAATTTCAGCGGTGTGTGCTTCCAGGCTTTGATTTGGGAAAGCTTTCCCATCAAAACCAACTACTGTAAGAGGTGTCCGGTGCTGAGTGGGATGGGCAAAAACAAAGCGCAAACATCCCAAGACGCTTCAAGTCCAGAGGCTCCTTCGCCTTCGCCTTCCCAAACCCAAAGCGGGAACCAAACCTTTTCGAGTGCCCGTCCAGGCGGCCTTTTGGTCTGTCAAAAGCCCAATGTTAGAAATCTACGGTGGGTGCCCCTGCCTCAATGCAAGTAGACTAGCTCTAGGGGTAACTTCCATGTCCATTCTGAACCCAGGGATCCGGATCTTGCTAGGGGAAGAAACAAAAACGGGGAAATGGAGAAATGTTTTTTTGGAAAGAAGGATGGCTGAAAAGAATGGACACGGAATCAACCCCTAGATAAGACCATGCTAAGTGCAGTGGATTAAAGTATCGGCTTCCTGGTTATGCGGAGACATCCATCCATCCATCCATCCATCCATCCATCCATCCATCCATCCATCCATCCATCCATCCATCCATCCATCCATGCATGCATGCATGCATGCATGCATCCATCCATCCATCCATCCAACCCTCGAAAATCAGACACTAATCTCTGATCAACAGCCCCAAGCAGCACTGCTCGGCTCTTGTACTTGAGCCTTGAGCCAATGCAATGATCAAGCATGGATTTTCCTCAAGGCAGAAGCCCCTGTTCGGATGTTTTGGGCCCTGTGGGGTTCGCGACAACCACGACCCTAAGAAAGCGATCAACATCCGTCTACGGAACCAGATCCTGGTCTTCAAACATAAACAACATTGGTGCAAATTTCAACCGTTTGGGGGGGGGGACATCATCTAGGTGGGCATTCATCATGTAGGTTGCTGTTTTTGTGGCGATTGAAAACAGGCCGGACAGGGCATTGTGGCATCAACACTCATCTGGTCATTCCCTGCCACGGACAATGCTCTCCTCGCGAGGATAGGGAACATGACGGGTGCTTCGGCACGAAAAAGCTTCACAGTCCGCAAACGTTCCACCAAGTTTACCAAGAGCATTGTCGCCATAGGTGGCCTTTTAGAAAAATAGATGGCCATGGCAAATGGAATAAACCCCATCTACGGGCCCTCGATTTTTTTACCAAACCCACCAAAACGGACACCTATGATTGTCGCAAACGTGCAAATGACGTCCAGAGGATCCCAAGCCTGAAGCCTGCAAGTATTTGACACATCTCAGGCTGGGCTTGTGGCCCTTGGGGGGTAAGTGACTTGTCTGACTTCTCGTGCAATGGTTCGCATTGGCCAAAAAGGGCCTCTGTGCATCTATACTGCCATCGCCGTATTCTTGACGTTTGTACTGTACACACTGGTCTAGATAGGTGTGTGTGTGTGGCCTGAATTTTGGACGACTTCAAGATGCAAATCCCAGCAACAGGTGCCAATGGCGCCAAATCAGGTCGCATATGGAGGCTCACAAACATTAGGTTCATGCAAACGGCCTCATTCACACGCCGTTTTATTTCTTGGTGCAAAGACGTGAACGGGATACCTCTGCTTGCAAGTACCTCGTGGCTTGCCAAAGCCAGGGAACCCTGGCTAAGGGCTGCCTGTTCGATCTCCAAAAGTTGCCTTTTACCACAGGTACTTGCAGCTGGCATGTCAAAAATTGAGGTTGATTCACATGAATCCTCTAGAGTTGCCCCTGCTTCCAATTGAAAAGCCCAGAGCCAATCCCAAGATCAGATTGATCCCATAGCCTATGAGCACAAGGCCAACTGAACCAGGCTCGGGCGAAATGTGCTCAGCAAGCAGAGGCCGGCCCACATTTTAAAGGAAAACAAACTCTTTACACAAAGTTGCTAAAGCTACGACTTGAACAGGGGGTAGGCCTACCCCTGTCAAATGGCCATGACAAGGATTTGAGCTGCCCCTGGTTGAGGGAGATGTAGGCTGAATCGGCCTGAACTGAACCCAGGGCGATGTTCCCAACAGCAACCCCGGGACTTCTTTTTTTTATATAACCTCGCTATGCCTAAGACTCATCCTCTGGCCCGTTTTCCAACGATAAAAACATCGAACCAAACGCGGCCACCCGCACACGGGAACCAAAGCTCTGCCTCAGAGGACATGGAGGATGATGCCGTCGAGACCTGGTGGGGAAAGGTTTTGAAGGGGCCTACCGTTTTTCCTAGTTCAGTTTCTTTCTCGGTGGATTGGATTGGTTTAAGCTGTGGTTTCCATTTCGCCTCCAAAAGCCAGGGCATCAAATCCAAATCCAATCCACTACTCCAAACCACCAGCTAAGGACCCGTTTCCTGATTAGTCTCTGAAGGGACCTGCTGTTTTCCGTCCTTTGTTCCCTTGTACCCTCTAGAGGGGGCTGAAATCCAACTCCAAAATCCAAGCCACCAGCTGAGGCTTACTTGAACCCTGCCAACATTAAGATCCAAAGTCTGAGGGTATGGCTAATAATAGCTTGATGGTTAGGAGGCTCCGGGCTCCGGCACTTTTCCATATATTTTCTTAGGCTGGAACACGAACTGGGGGGTCAAATCTGCAAACCGCCCATCCAAAACCATCAATTTGCTGGAGCTGAAAATAGAGGGGGGACAAATAGGTCAAGGATTCATCCCCTTGTGCTATCCACGGGAGGGAACTGAAACTCGTCTGTTTAGGAACCAAGGCTTGGAGTTTCCTTGGATCTGCTAGAAGCGGAAGGGCTTCAAGCTCCATTCAGGTACCCCTTAGTTGAGGTTGAGTTGCCACCATTAAAACAATGGGGGTTCATAGAACCACCGCTACGGTGGTTACCTAAGGAGTGTCATCCTTCAAAATGGGCCAACCTTTGTTTTAATGGGGGTTGAACCCTATGGCCTTAGTTGGCCTGGATTCGTTTGGCTTTGGATCTGAACCCCTGGTTAAGAATGGGAAGCCGCCCAACCACCACAACCGATTCGGCTCCAAGCCACTAGCTGATTTCGGAAACGGACTTTGCCCGTGGTTTCATTTCAACAATCTGTTCACTCCGGCCAGTGGAGTCCTTGCCGAAGTTGAGCTGCTATCCTATCTAAATCCAATGCCCACGCACGAACATCGAGAAGGACAAGCACCTCGCGAAAGGCAAACGTTTCGTGGCAACACCAAAGGTCATCAAATGATAAGCGGCCCCTTCAAATGATACACAGTGCCTAACAAAGCGAGTTCACACTCTCGCAAATTCCCCGACCGAACAACCCTGTTGCTTCTGTCAGGTAGGCGGGGCTCACCAAACAAATAGCGAAGAACATTCCCCCATCAAACTGACACTACAACATCCAACATATATATATATATATATATGGATCTAATACGCCCTTCACAGGGCGCTCAGCTACACCAAATCCATTAAGAAAAGGACCAGGCGCACCAGGACAAAGGCTACGAAATGCTTGCGTGTAGGCAACTCTTGCCAGAGCTGTCCTACTGCATCCCTCGGAAAGTGCAGCTCTCGAAAAACCCACTGCGCAAGCGCATGTTCTTTCAGTTTTCGGGAGGGACAATGTCAGTTGCTGCGGACATGCGGTGTCAGCCCCGAATTTGTCAGATCGACATGCGGTAGCAGAGAAATCAGTTTGGCCACCTAAAGGAAAAGTGTATGCCCTTGCAAGATAGACTCTATGTGGTTGGGGGGATTGACTTGTTTTGTGACCACCTTCTTTTTGGGTATTGGTTTTCCGCACAGGGGACGGTGCGGCGGCCGTTTGATCAGCAGGGTGTAGAGATTTTGGGGTGGGGCAGCTACCGAGGGAAGCAGAGGATTTGCTTGTGATCCAACCCCTCATGAGCCTCAAGCCCCCCCCCCCCAGCTCCCCAGCTCCCCGACCCGGTGCTTGGCGAAGAGGTGCCAGAAGCACAACATCTCGTTGCCGGTGCCGAAGACCAAAGCGCCCTCGGGCGACCTCGAAACATCCGAGTCCAAGCTGTTTTTATCTTCTGCAGCTCAGGAGTTGTCACTGGAGCTCACCACATCCAGCTCCGAGCATGCTCACAAAATGGGTGTGGCTCAAAATTAAACAGGAGGGGTTACGCAGGTTTTGGTCCATGTTTCCACTTACCAGGGTTTCATTTTGGTACCGGTTTTTTAAACCAGCCAAACAGATTAAAAAAGAAAAAAACAAAAAACACATGCCCAACTGACCAGCGAGCGTCACGCAAACCCTCCCCTTGCTTTTTTCGTGGGGAAGAATCAACAAAAAGGTCCAGTATAAGACAGCGCTGCCCTCAGATCCCCGGCTAAAAGTGACTAACTTTTGGTGGGTGAGATGGAAACTACCGCTACACACAAGGCGAAGAAGTTTTCTGGAACCGGATGGCCTTCAGCTTCGCCACCAAGAGAGAGATCCCAGGTAGATCATGGGGGCAGCAGCTCCCAAAAAGAAGACATGGGCCTTCCTGAAGCTCATGGGCCCATTGGAAACCAAGATTCGTGGATTAGCAGGAAAACGTCCAAACTTCTTGCTTGCCAAAAACATGGTCTTACCAACAAGTGAAAGTCCCGGAACTCGGGGAGTGAGAAAAGGCTTTCTGAGGTTGAATTTGTTCTTAGAGGGTGCTTCACATGGGCTTGTCTCAGAAGTCGGCTCTGTGAGTTTCCTTTCTGAACCCAAAAATGGCACCCATATTTTCCATGTTCCCCTTCATCCACCATTTTGAGACACCTCCTATTGTTTGCATCCCTGGTCACCACTACGACCCCGGATTAACCAAGCTCGTGCATGTGTGTGTGTGTGTGTATGGTGCGTGTATGTTGTGCCTGAGTCTGTGTGGTGTGTGCGTGTGTTGAGTGTTGTGTGTTGTGTGTTGTGTGTGTGTGATGTGTGATGTGTGGTGAGTGTGTGTGGTGGGTGTTGTGTGTGTGTGTGATGTGTGGTGAGTGTGTGTGTGTGTGTGGTGGGTGTTGTGTGCTGTGAGTGTTTTGTGTTCGTGTGCTCTGTGTGTTTGTGCTTCGTCTGTGTGATTTGTGTGTGCGTGTGTGCTCTGTGTGTGTTGTCTTTGTGTGTTGTCTTTGTGTGTTGTCTTTGTGTGTTGTCTTTGTGTGTTGTGTTGTGTTGTGTTGTGTCGTGTCGTGTCGTGGTGTGTGTTGTGTTGTGTTGTGTTGTGTTGTGTTGTGTTGTGTTGTGTTGTGTTGTGTTGTGTTGTGTTGTGTTGTGTTGGTGTTGGTGTTGGTGTTGGTGTTGGTGTTGGTGTTGTTGTGTTGTGTTGTGTTGTGTTGGTGTGTGTGTGTGTGCTCTGTGTGTGTGTGTCTTTGTGTGTGTGTGTGTGTTGTGTGTGTGTGTGTGTTATTTTCCGGGATGTGTCCCACCCAAAAAGTGAGGATTCCTCCAACAGTGCATTCCTCTATAAATCAACCAGGGGTTTATGAATCAGCTGGCTTTCTTTGTTGGCCTCCACCCACAAATGCCTCTCCGTTTCGGTTCAATTGATTAACCCAGTTGGTGTCCATTCACATGGGCAAAAACCCTTTGGCTGTTGATACTCGTTAGTCTCAGTATAACATGAACCAAGAGAGTACCTAAAACTTGTCGGTGCTCAGTCAATGCGGGAATGAACCCAGGGGTCCCCAAAAAAGGAAGCCACCAGTTGGATTGTTTATAGGTGTCATTCCTTGATTCCCTGCTGACCAGCAAAAAAAAAGGGCAGACGGTCTTGGCAGCTGGGAACAGTGGCATCCCGACTCATTCGACGGGCGGGGTCGGGCTAAGCTCCAGGCATCGCGAGAAAGAGCACTCGCGCCTCGCGCACTTGTGACAGCGATTCCTATTCAGCTCCCGGGAGGTTCCGATTCAACAGGGCCGTGGGAAATGGAATCCACTTTTGTGATACAAAAAGGGCCTCCCAAAGACCAAGCCCGCAGATAAAGAGGGGAGTTCCGTGTATCACAGAAGTGGGGATAAACCCCTTGATCCCACAACCCTGTTGTTCAATTGCCGCAAAAAACTCACTGTCAACTGGCCAAAGGGGTTAAAATGCAAAGACGCAGGGGGAAATAATGGGAAGTATAGGGAACCTGCTGGAGGAAGGTTTGTCCAAGTGTGTCCTGCCCACATGGCTGTGGCTGCAAGTGCCCAGTGATAGGGACAAGAATCATACTTTTTGGCTGGCCGATCCGAAACGAACCTAGCACACGTGCTTGCCGGCCCTTGCCCCATATCCACAACCCCAGCTGTCCACGGCTGACGTTCATGAGCCGGCGAATTGGACGAACACTTCCATTTGGTTAGACCCCTAGAAAAAATAAAAATATCCCCAGTAGTGATAGATTCCCTTTAAAACCAACGAAACTAAAAAATATTATTAAGCAAATGGAGGAACATATTCCTTTCAACATATCCATCCAAGTTTTGGGCTTCCTTTAGGCTTTAGAACTGAACACATCGGGCTGTGTGGGAGATACATGGAATCCCAGTGCTTTCAAACGGGTCAAGCCTCTACCCATTCACCCCGAGATTTTGTTTGGGGCTATATAACCACCATAACTATGGATGTAGGCACTATATGAAGGGTATTTATATATATATAACCCTTCCCCCGAGGGGTAGTGGTTTGGGGGTGATACCATCTTGGATGATCCAGTGTCACGCTCTGTCTATGTTGATCTGAGCCGTCGAACTTCCCCCTGGGTTGTGTGGCTCTCCCAAAAACTCGTCCCTCCCCCCAACAAAAAAACAGACTACCCTCCTACAGTTTCACATTGAACCGAAAACCAAACATGATTCCTATTGGGGGACACCCCGTTTTGAGTTCCATGTTGATTTGTAGGGGAAACCAGTTATTTTGACTTAACCTCATTTGCTTCCCCATAAGCCACAGCATGTCAAAGATACAGTACCCTGTTCCGGGAAAGGATGTACCAACTCATGACGGGTAGTCTGCCTCAAAAGAATACACACCCATACATCAGCGTCCCAATCGATTCTGATGGGTGGGTATCTGTGCTACTCCAAACCCATCAGGATCCGTCAGGTGTCTGTAGATGCGGCAAGCCTGCTCAACGTTGCAAGCAAATAATGCACGCAGCTGCAAACAAACGTCTTCCTTGCATTGCTTCAGCGCATCAAGGATCAAAGGGGAACCCAAGAACGGATGCCCAACCATCCTGGCTGTGAAGGCTAGCAGCGGCCGCAACAGCAACAAGAACAGCAATATCACTAGCAAAGCAGAACAGCAACAACATTTTCTCACTTGAGCGGACTGGCCAGAACAGGTCCAAACTTTTCGTTTGCCACTCAATTGTTTTGGGGCCCAAGTGCACAGGTGGCCTTTTGGAAAAATAGATGGCCCTGGTACATGGAATAAACCCCATCTAAACCAGGGCCCTCGATTTTTTTGCAGCAAACCAAAAAGGGACACCTCTGCCCGAGTGCCTCTCACGTCCGACGCGGTTTCTCCGGAAGTCCCAGTTCCGGACGCCTTGTGCCACTGCAGGCAATGCAGTCGCGAGAGGCCTGAGGAAATCAACGCAGGGTCGAAAAAGCCAAAGGCCGGGAGCATAGGCGTCCGGTCCGCCAGAAGGTTAGAATGAGTTGGTACCATTTTTTGTTTTTATTGTTTGCGGTTTTGTCTACTTTAGTAGGGGAACGCTCCCCCAAAAAAGGGTAAAAAGGCACTACAGGGGGACCTAGTAGGCGTCCTTCTGGTTTGGGTTTCAAATGGCAAAAAAAAAAACATCTAAACCAATACCATCTATCTCTAATCAAACTAACTTCACAAGGGCACATATGGGAGGGAGACAAACACGACTCGATTTGTACCAACCTCAACCTCATGGTGAAACCAGAGAGCAAACATCGGGGTCCGCACAAGCTGCTCAGACCCAGCCAAAACAAAGACTTGGCTATGAATTTCAAAGGGAACCACCTCAAAAGTCGCTGGTGAACATACATCGACGATTTATTTGGGGCCCATTAAAATGCACGCTCACTTCCTCGAGCCTCCAAGGCCATGTGTACAGTCACGCTCCATGAATCAACCCAAACGTCAACTTCCGGAGGACCTTTCTGACAGGTGACCACTGCTTCAACTACAAACACTCGTACATGTGGACGTTGCTTTAGTACTGGGCACTCCGTTTAGACAATTGAAACGTGGTCATGACGAAAAATGAACCGGCCTTCGGCAAGTGAGTTAATCTTTATCTAGTCTCGGCCTCGTTAACATTATATCATAATATTCCGGATGCGTCTTCATGTGTGTTCTGCCTACAACTACCTTCTCCCGCAAGCCCGCCTTCTCCCCCGAACCCGTTTGATCTGAGGTTTGACCCTCTTTTGATTTGTGGGAAGGAGGGTTTGTTACCCTCCCACCAACTAACATGGAAGTGCAAAAAGGCCCTTTCCAAGAGGAAAGTAGTCTTTCTACAGGGGTCTGTGCACTTCCATGTTAGCTGGTGGGAGGGTAATCCGACGTTAACCATCATTATGCAAAACCTGAAGGTGAAAATTCACAAGTGGAACCCTCCCTGAAAGCTCCTCCGGACCACCCGAGCTGAATTGCGCAGAGCCCCCCCAAAAAAAGCTTTCAGCTGTTGAATCACTACATCTGAATGCCATGTTATGGCAGTGGATCAAAAATAGGTACTCAAAATGGAACCCTGCCAAATGGAAACATGGACTGAAACCTGCGGTCCCCCGGTGGTTTAATTTTGACCCAGACCCAGATGTTGGGAACTGGCTTCCTTAACAAGCTGAACCTAATTGCATCACATGGGTTGGGCTCGCTTTCGACAATTCTGGGGGCCCCCCGCATTCTGACGCGTATGCATACCCACATCTGGATGTGAGCCGGTGACTTTCACCCTCTGCAAAGGATCCTTCACGAGACCTGGGCGTTTTGCCCCTTGGAGAATTAGGCAGCTGGAGAAGTCGCTCATCACTTAGTTACCTCTAACTTTGGTGATTTGGATCGAGGTTAGCCTGGCTTCCAGATTACCCTCTGCAAGAACCAAGGGTTCAAATCCAAGGAATCAATCCAACCCACCAACTAAGGCCCCAAGCCACACGCTAAGGCGACATCTGTGTGAGGAAATCAAATCACGCCCCGTTTTTGTAGCACTGCTCCTCGTGTCCCCCGGTAAGTCGTTGCATCTGACCTAATTTCCACATATTCCCACTTGACCGCCTCGCGTTTCTTCGTTGAGTTATAAGCTTGAACCGATGAAATCCGTTCAGGAGGCCTATGATCCCATACCTCAAACGCAACCGCGAAGCAGAAAACCCCCACTTGGCGGCATTCACCCAAATCCCATCCGGTTCGCCTCCAGTGGTCTTCCAAAGGTTCACCTCGTAGGTTGAGAAGCCTCAGATTCCCAGCGGGGATACTGCTAAAATCAGTATGGGGGGTGTATGTTGTTGAGCCTCGGTACCCTTTTGTCCCCAAATAGCTGAAAGCTACAGGGGTTCTAACTTCTAACAAACACAACAAAGAAAATTTTTGAGATGGACGCAGGGTGCTAGGGCATGCAGTTTTGGGGTGCTGGGGCAGGTGCTGTCTTGGATTGATAGCCAGGCGCTCTGAGGGTGCTGTTTGGGGCGCTCTGAGGGTGCTGTTTGGGGCGCTCTGAGGTGCTGTTAGACGTGATGGTGTGCAATTATCGGCCTGCTTTTCGCTATCTGGGGTCTAATGCAGGTGAAATGTTGTGATCGTGTTCAGAAAACCAACAGGAAAACCACAATTTTGGGGGTCCATGCTGATGATGATAATGATGATGAGGATGAGGATGAGGATGAGGATGAGGATGACAATGACGATGAGGATGAGGATGAGGATGAGGATGAGAATGATGATGATGATGATGATGATGATGGGGAGGCAGAGGAGGCGGAGGAGGCGGAGGAGGAGGAGGACGATGATAATGATGGCGATGATGATGAGGCCTTCCAGTTGCAAGATAAGAAGACAACCGCGCGCCCGTGTGACGCAGCGCAGCTAGCTCACGGACGAAGGAGCTAAACATGACCCACCAGAAAGCAGGGTTTCAAGCGCAGGGTCTTGCTGGGGGGCCCTGTTCGATCAAAATTTGTGCCTGATGCCTTGCGTGTATTTAACAGGTAACCTCAGCTGACACCCAACCTCTTCCTATGAAACCGGATGGAATCGGCAGTACCAAGGGGCACAATTTGAATCACGTTCAACGCAACGCTGGGACCACGTAATAGCTTCAATATTCTGCCCCATGTTAGGGGGGGTCAAAGAAGCGAGCCCAAATTGGTCTTCCAGGTCCCTCTCGAATCTCTCCTCTTCTCGTCCATGGCATTTCGGGATTTGTCCAAATCTCCAAAAAGGCTGTCGTCAAGTTGCAGTATTCTCATCAAATTGGTTTGAATTTTAGTTGTCCACCCACCACTTTGAGGTGGTTCCCTATTGAGATTCACGGCCACGTGTCATACCTTCAACTCAAACTTTTGTTGGTTCGACACGCGTATTTCTGTCGAGCTAGCCGAATCTTCCTCAGTACATGCCCTTTCCGGCGGACAGCAGAGAAAGTGAAGGAGGGATGTCCATTCATAGATGTTGAAGCTACATCTAGTAGTTCCCAAATACAGTACTAGTATGAAAGAGAAACAACCAATATGTACACATCTACATATATATATATATGTGTACATATTATATTTATTGAGTTCCCTTGCTTATCTACTGCACAAGTAAATGAAATCACTGGGGCCTACACGCTACCTTCCTAATGCTGTAATTACGTAGAGAATACGAAAAAATACGCCCAAGAAAACAGCGCCTTCAAACCACGGTTTTACTTTGTGGTTTTTTTTGGGGGGGAGGGGGGGTCCAAAAAAAGAAGTCCCATGTACTGTCTCAATAATCACGACAGTAAATGGGGTCCCTCAAAACAAATAAACGAAACAACCGAGCTCTCCCTGGGATTCAGGCCATGAGTGCTGATGAGCTCACCGTCGCCGCTGGGCGACCAGGCCAAGCTGCACACCTCAGGAATGATCATTTCTCTTACAAGAAAGTTTACTAACATATTGTTAAAATAGCTATACAATACAATTTGCTATGATTTTTAATGCAATACCTGTATCTTCCAAGAGGGGCATAATTTCAGCAGTTTCGGGCACAACCATGTTTTAAGTTGAGACGGCGCATTTTGATGAGACTGCGCTTTTCCTCTTTTCAGCATCAGGGTGCATATTCGAGGTCAGGTGGCGCTTGAAACTCATGCCAGTATGCTGGTTCTGGTCGAATGTGATGCACTTGACTTCGCAGCACTAGCGCCGCAGTGATTTATTTGTTTCTTTATCGCGCCTCTTGAGTATTGGAGGTCCAGCAAACAGCATCCAACCACTTGTTGCAGGAGCAGGACTGGGGCATGAACTGGTTTTACTGCTGCTGCGCGGCGAAGGTTATAGCCATTTCAAGCAACACTCACAGTGGGAGTGGTAAGATCTCTAATGGCCTTACGAATCACACAATGTCAAGTGTGTTTTTTGCTGAGTTGTTGAGACCATTTGCGACTAAAACTTGGCGAATGTTTAGCTTGAAATGCCTTCCTAACGTCAGAAGGGCAAGTCTTGCATAGTGGTTATCGGCACAATAGGATGGAAGGCCAATCCGAGGCTGGTTTGCATGCAAGCCAAGAAGGTTGGAAGCGTGCGAAACGAGGAAATATGAGGGAACCACGCCAACACATAAAAATGTAAGTTGCTACTTCAGCAGTTGCCGTGATATTGCTGTTGGATGGCTTTGTTTACTGCTGCGCACACCTGGGAAGGGTCAATTTCTGAATTGCAACGGGGCTTGCCATCGCAGGTGTAGAGGGAAAGACCCCGAGTTGCGCGCCTTGGAAAGATTCAGGCAACTGTGTCCAAATTTGCAGAAACAAAACGGCGATAATTTGCGTCCAAACGGCGATAATTTGCGGCCAAACGGCGATTTTTAGCGAACCACCTTCATAGCGCTTGCCGGTGCACTTCACACGCTGCTCTATCACATGGGCTCTCCCAGGAAGCAAGCTGTTGTACGGGCTGTCCTCGGAAATGACTGTCGGTCATCATTCTGGCTGCAGTCATATTTGACAAGAATATATGAGTAAGCAGCCACAAAATATTAAATTCAATTAAACTTGCTGATGTTGGCACTGTCTGAAACCAAAAATTAAGTGGTGATGTGATTCGTGTTGGTGGCATGCTGTGCTGAGAAGGTGCGAGGGGTGACTGCGACTCGAAAAAAAAGAGTGAGGAGCTTAAGCTACAGGTCTCGCATGTTTCTGCTGGGTGAGCACTGCTTGACACGTCAACTTGCAACGAACAGTTGCATGTGCTGCAGAGTTGCTTTGCGCACGCAGTCTGGAATTTTCAGGATGTTGGTTCCAGACCTTTCGGGGCTCTTGAGCGCCACCATTGACAGATACGAAAGACAGTATGCTCAGACCCAGATCTTGCGCACGTGCTTGAACAACTCTACTGGCTTTGCTCAGGGCGGCAGTAGCAGGATTTATCCTGCTATCCGAAGCTTTTAAGCAACTTTGCAATCTGGGCATTCTATTCATTCTTCACATATCTCCAGGCACATTTGTCCGCACTAAATTGGGGCAATGACGCAAAACAGCTTTGTCAACATTGAACGAAACTGCAGGAAATTCGCAAAACGACAAGTATTGATTGAAACGGCTGAAATTAATTGAAACGGCAACATTTTCTGCAGTTTGGCCAAACGGCAGAAATTACGTACCCTCAGAAGATCCAGGTAATCTTGATGGAAATAAGGATTCCGAGAAGGTCCTTGCGGCGCAAACAAAATCCGCCCGTTGGTGGGAAACGCGCCGTTGTCCTCGTGTCGGCGTTTTTGGTTATGTGGCGCTGATTGCTTTCCTTGTTTTGCCTTTTCGTGATGAAGAAGCACAAATACCGCTTAGCATAGTCTCTTGGACTTAGTGTGCCCTGCCGAGCACGGCTTTCGTTTTGGATTACCATTCCATGGTGTGCCCTGCTGTTGGCTTGTTGGACTTCCATCTCTTTCTTTCCGATCCACGCAGACTTTTCACACCCAGACCATACCCAGACTACTCTTCTCGGTGCAGATGGCTCTGTGCAAGCTGCGCAAGCAGCTCTGTGAGATGGCTCTGGGAAAGTTGCTCTTCGCAAGTTGTCGAAGGGAAACCCACCCATTTTGGGGCCAATCCTAAGACATGTCCATTGCGCGCAACGGTGCATTCTTGCGTGGATACCCAAGCCACTATACTGTGGTAGGTAGCCGGCCTTTGCAGCTTCAGGGTGGTTCACTCGGGTTGCCTTGCATGGCTGGGCAACTAAGAGGACGACACAGGATATCAAACGCCAGGGAGCCGAACCCGAAAATGCCCGCACCGCTCCGAAGCATTCCACAATTTATCCAGCAGAGACCCCAAAGCTCTCAGCTTCAAAAAATAAACCAATAAATAAGCCCAGGCGGAATCCCCAACAGGCTCGGAACCCTTGGAACCCTGCAGCTGTTGCGGAAAAGCAGGGATTCTTATATTATACACCTGAATATTGTCTTGTTAATGGTGGATTTTTTTTACTTTTATTTTTATATGTTTTAATTTGAATTGGCAAAATGTATTTTTTTAAGGAGCCCTGAGAAAAAAGAATACAAACAAAGCTTGGAGCTCATCTTGGAGTCCCCGCCTGCGCTTCCGTCTGCACGCAGGACGTCTGCGTGCCAGAGGCTGTCCAAAGCCGGATGGTCCTTGGCCCAAATGTTAGAAAACCAAACATTTCGGATCTGGCCCACATTTAGTCTGACCTAGAATACAACCTAACTTTGGAGGAGATGTCAGGAAAAGGGCACTTCCACTGAGTGTCTCTTTTTTGGAGGGTACCTCTTTTGAGGTGGTTAAAAGGGAGTTGAAAGGGACGCGACCCATTTTGGGACCTCCTGTAGAGCACATTGATCCGCACGGGGTTGAGCAAGCACATTGCAACGGGCCTGCGGGGGTTGGCGCCTTTTGGCGAGATACAGGCCCCGTTAAAAGAGGAAAAGCCAAATCCGGGGCTTGACACGTATCGCATTCTGTAAAGGAAAAGCCATACAAAACCCATTGGGTCACTCTCAAAATTGAGAGTGCCCCAGGTGGTTTCCTTTTGGTTTCCTTCTAAAGCCATCCAAAAAGAGGTCAGATTCCTATTTTGAGACACCCATTTCAACTGTTTTTCGAGAAAGTGAGTCCAAAAAGCATGCACTGGTTCCGCCTTGCTGGGGCCAGCTTTTTCCAATTTTTCATCAAAGGGTATGATTTGGCTGCCCATGCAACGCTACTGAATTGAGAATGTGGCTGCATGAAGGCGTCCGTTCCGTGATTGCTCAACCAAATATGCTCTGAAGCGGCCATTTGCATAAAACCAGTACTGATTGAGAGTCGTAGCAAGGGGAGCGAGGAATATAGCAAGGGTGTCTCCGTTTTTGAAGGCACCCCTTTTTTAAATGTTGGTTGCTTTAATAGGAGAACCAAAGGGAAAGCCACACATTTGGGTCCGAATCCAAAAACAGACACACCCGGCCCTGACATGGCCCTCAAATCAGTGGACTCGCAGGCAGCTCCCAAGGTTGGGACTTTTGTGTTGTGGTTTCGTGTTTCAGCGATTGCTTCGACTAACAAGACGACCTAAAAGGTGTATGTCATAATTACACAAAAGAAACAAAGCACAAATTGGAAAGTCAAAGATAACACACCAACACCACCCGCTTGGAACGCTGAGCTAGCACTAGCACCCATTTTCAGCTCCTAGAGGTACCATATGTTTGGTGGTCGGGTAAGCTTCTGCGGAAAACGAAGGCAACCCAACAGGCAGCAACATGGTCCAATTCTTCCAAGTGTATTTTATGGAATCAGGGCATAAACTTCACTAGGGCTGTGTGGCTGTTGCCCCTTGCATACAGGACTCTTTGTGTTGGTTACTGGAAAAAGACACAACACAAACAAAATCCATAGCATTCAAACCATGTGAGGCGGAAGAATGAGGTAACTTAAAGGGGCAGGGTACTTAGTATGTGGTTAGCAAGCCTGGCATAATCCACTTAGGAGACTTATAACCATGGTAAGTGGGTTACAAAGGTAACCATGGTTATTGCCCACTTACTATTTACAATGCCCCTTTAAGTATGGTTTGTTGTGACACCAACCATTTTGAGGGGTGTGGCCCCTTGAGAAACCAATAGCTATAGTTACATCACGAATGCAAACAAATAAACAAGCACATAAGTAATTCAATGAAAAATGAGACCACAAAAAAACACACGCAAATAAAACCAATAAACATACATACATTAATGAACAAACAGTTTTAAACAAATAAGTATAAGAAAATCACCAAACTATATAAATAACAATAACATAACTAAACACGCAACTAAAGGAGATACGTAAATATATATAAACCATAAATGCATAAACACATAATTTAATGGATGAACAACTGAATAAGTACATAAACACATACACAACTAAACACACACACACACACAACATGCTGGGCTTTCCTTTGGGCAGTTTCCCTGGAACACAAAAAGAAGGTCCTCTCCAAAAAACATGGGTCCGTCTTTTTCAGGGAACCCAACAAATTGTGGTTTCCTTTTGGATTCCCTTTCAAAAAAAAAACGGGGTAGCCTCCAAAAGCACACGCGACTGAGCTCCTGGCCGGTCGGCGGTGCCGCCACCTGTGGCCAGCACGCCCTTCGGCCTTGGACACACGCGATGTCTCACAAAGAGAGGACGCGCGGAAATACAGCCGCCACAGTCCACAGCAACTTGGATGGGAGCAGAATCCTTTGGAGACTAAGCAACTTCCTGTTGGTTTCCCTTTGAGATGCAAAAAGGGGAGCTTGAAGGAAGCATGTTCTTTTTCTGATCGTTCCAGCTTTGGGGTTCACAAGACACAGGAAACACAACCAGTTTGAAGGTGCCCATTTGGAGATAAACCATCGGCTGTCCACCTGGTTCTGGTTGAATCTTCTTTGGCCCGTGCCAGCAAACCCTTTGTTGAAACGAGCTCGGGTCACAGCTGATCCGTTGCAGGTGTTCCTGTTACAGCCATGCCTCCGGCTTGTAACACATCCCATGTGTGTAATTGAGGAGCCCGTGGTGGACAATATTTGCACGGAAGTTCATGTACAGCAACAATGTTTAAGAGTATTCCTGTTAAAACTCATTGCTCAAAAACCTGATGTAAAGGAGTCTACGCAAGCCATGTCAAGAATCAAAACAACGCCTCACCTATTCATGGTTGGGACTGTCCCCCTATTAACCGTCACCTTGTGTTTACAAACAGTTGTAAATTTATACGACTCAATACATTTATGCAGTTATGCATGCATACTCTGGGTGGCTTACCACCAATTGGGTGAAACCCTACAAATATGGGCATGAAACATCTACTGGTGCGGCGCATGTTTGTTGACTCTCCGTATGTGGGGGCGGGGGTCCCAGCAGCCATTCCCCAAAAAAACAGCTAGAGGCGTCTTTTTTTGGGAATCGGACGCCCCAAATTGCAAAATGGGGTTCCATAGGTTCCATGTCAATTTGCATGGGAGTCAGAGTTTCAAAGTGCAAGTCGGATGACTACTTCTTTATTTCAAAAGCTCCCCCGGAACTCGCAGAAAGTGTCTCCGCACGTTCGTCTAGCATGTAGCTGAATGAACCATGTTAGAATCCACTGCTCTTCAAACATCCTGATCTCATTGCCCTTTTCATCCTTGCACAGTGTCCAAATGAAATCAACGGCTCAAGTGGATTATCGAAAAGTCAAGTAAACCAGGGAACCCCTTTTGGTTGGTTCCAAGAGGAATCACAAGGAACCCACGAATTTGAGGGTTCCCCTGTTTCTCGCTGGTTTGACTGAACCATATGCTCTGTTGCATTTTAGGGGAGAGGGTCTCTTTCTCAAACTTTTTCAGAGGAAAACCAACCAACCAACAAACCCAACCCAACCCAACCCCAACCCAACCCCCCCAACCAACCCAAGCCAACCCAAGCCAAGCCAACCCAAGCCAACCCAAGCCAACAACCCAGACCAACCCACCCCAACCCAAACCCCACCAACCCAACCCCAAGCCACCCAGGCCAGGCCAACCCACCCCAACCCAAACCCAACCCAAGCCAACCCAACCCAGGTTAGGCCAACCCAACCCAAACCCACCCCACCCCAACCCAACCCATCTCTGCCGCATCCCGCTGACCAAGTCACACGTCCTTCATCGACCCCGAGTCGATCAAGATCGCCTGCCAACCCACCCCAACCCAAACCCACCCCCACCCCACCCACCCCAACCCAACCCAGGCCAACCCACCCACCCCACCCCAACCCAACCCGCCCCACCCAACCCCAAACCCACCCCAACCCAAACCCACCCCAACCCAACGCACCCCACCCCACCCCAACCCAACAGGCCAACCCACCCCAACCCAAACCCCCACCAACCCAACCCACCACAGCCCCCAACCCCAAGCCAACCCAGCCCAACCCAAGCCAACCCAACCCATGGCCTGGCCAACCCACCCCAACCCAAACCCAACCCCCCAAACCCACCTGCATGTTGTCTGCTAATGGTCGAAGGAGCTAAATCAAGGACGTCCGCTACCAACTCCAACAAGCTTCCAGAGCATTAGTAGCTAAATCACAAGCATGTCTCAATAAGACCTCGCCTCAATTTGTTTTTGGGTCCATTGTCAGCTCGGCTGCTTGCTTTGGAGCTGGGTGCATCAGCAGGATTTATAGCGCACTCACCGCAAATGTCACTGTTCTCCCCGACCACGAACAGCCTTGCTACAAGCACGCATGGCAGTGGAGTATGGTCACATCTCACAGAAATTGAAGCTTGATCAAAACTGAGGTTCAGGCACAGGCGGCAGGCCACTATTTGCATCCTGAGGTGCAAGCCACTATTTTGGGATGATCCTGAAAAAGCGCCAACCCAACCAAGCCAACCCAACCCAACCCAGGCCAACCCACCCCAACCCAAACCCACCCACCCACCCCACCAACCCAACCCTAAGCCAACCCAACCCAACCCAAGCCAACCCAACCCAAGCCAACCCAACCCAGGCCAACCCACCCCAACCAAAACCCACACCACCCCAACCCAAACGAACCCCCCCCACCCCAAGCCAACCCAACCCAACCCAAACCAGGCCAACCCACACCAACCCAAACCCCCCCAACCCACCCACCCCACCCCCAACCCAACCCACCCCGCCCCAACCCAACCCAAGCCAACCCAACCCCCCAACCCAACCCAACCCCAACCCAACCCAAGCCAACCCAACCCAACCCACCCCAACCCAACCCACCCCACCCCAACCCAACCCACCCCAACCCACCCAAGCACCCTTAACCCCACCCCAAGCCAACCCAACCCAACCTACCCCACCCCAAGCCAACCCAACCCACAACCAACCCACCCCAACCTAAGCCAACCCAAGCCAACCCAACCCAACCTACCCCACCCCAAGCCAACCCAACCTAACCCACCCAACCCACCCCAACCCAACCCACACCCCAAGCCAACCCAAGCCAACCCAACCCACCCCAACCCACCCCACCCCAACCCAAGCCAACCCAACCCAACCCACCCCAACCCAACCCACCCCACGCCAACCCAACCCAACCCAACCCACCCCAACCCAACACACCCCACCCCACCCCAAGCCAACCCAACCTACCTGCATGTTTGACCCCCCTCTCCCCCCCGTTTTTGCTCCTTGCGGCTCCTCGAATCCCGGGGCTCCGGGCGACCAGGCGAGGGCCCGGCAGGCAGCTTGATGGCACCCCAGCCGCCGCAGCTCGCCTTGATCCGTCCAAAGGTTCACCTCGGCCCACCGGAGAACCAATTGTATCCATATTATTACGATTTTGATTATTATTATTATTATTATTTTATCATTATTATTAGTATTATATTTATTATTCTTATTATTACTATTGCTATTATCAGTGTCATTATTACTATTATCATTAATATTATTATTCAAATCATTGTGTTAAATCAAATATTCAGGGAAAAACACACCGCCGACGGACCTGACGAGCACCAACAGCAACAAGAACCACGCCGTCCAAACGCCGAGTTTTCGAGAAAGACATGAGCGGTGATCAAAATCAATAGGCCAAATTGCGATGATATCATTTGGCGCTTCCGCGTGCTTCCGCGCTGCGGGTGTTTGCTTCCGCGCTCTCATTTCCCTTCCGCGCCTTCCGCAGCTTGCGTCTCTTTCTTGCCAAGCCAACAAAAGCGTTGCCAACAGGATCACTGCAGCAATATTGATTCACGCGGGCCTGGCAAATTGTTTTTGCTGTCCCTGAGAGGCTGCAGCTTGACGGGGCTTGAACCTCCAACTGTTGCCTCGTATCCTGGGAGGTCCGGGAGCTCAGTGGAGCCCAGACGGCTGTAGCAAATGGTTTATGGGTCCCATGCTCATAACGACGCTGAAACGCGAATCCTAATAGATTTGCAACCGCAAACGTGAAGCCTCACGACACACCGCGGCTAGCGAGAACAACACATCACACACAAGGCATCCAAATCACGGAACCCTTCAGCCGTCCTTCCGCGCCCTTCCTCCAGCGTTCCGCGGATTGAGACCCACATCAATCTCCACGCATTTTAGGCCTGGGCCTAAAAACGATTTGTTCGGCCCTAAAAACAATTTGTTCGGGCCGAACAAATCGTTTTAGCTTCCGGGCACTAAAACGATTTGTTCGGGCCGAACAAATCGTTTTAGTGCCCGGGAGCTAAAACGATTTGTTCGGCCCGAACAAATCGTGTAGTGCCCGGGAGCTAAAACGATTTGTTCGTGCCCGAAGCAAATCGTTTTAGGGGAGCTAAAACGATTTGTTCGCCCGCTCGTTTTAGTGCCCGGAGAGCTAAAGCGCCCGGGGAGCTAAAAGGATTTGTTGGCCCGAACAAATCGTTTTAGTGTACGGGGAGCTATCGTTTTAGTGCCCGGGGAGCTAAAATTGTTTGGCCCGAATTTGTTCAGTAAATCTCGGCCTAACCGGCCATTGCCGAAGAAGCCCACGTGGTGACTTGGTAATTGCTCGGAGGGGAAAAAATGAAGAGGATCGATTCCTCGACGCCACTTCTTGCGGGGTGACGGCCAAAACAGGCCAGATGAAAATCGTTTGGTTTTGTGGCCGGGGTGCAGAAACGATTTTGTTTGCCCGAAGAAACAATCATTTTATTCCTTTCCGCGCCCTTCCGCTGTGCAAATTTCGTAGTCAACTTCCGCCGGCCCTTCCGCAAGCTTCCGCGGCCTGCGGAAGACCTTCCGCGCTGATTGATTTCAGCGCTCCCTTACTTAAATTGCTTTGAGCATTTTGATCGCTGCTCACATGGGCGTCTCCCTGACGGGACCTTCCAACCAAGGCCGAGGTCATGTCTGTGTATATATTTGTATACACAAATTTGGCACAGGTAGTAGTTCATGGGGAAGGTGAGCATGAATACGGTACAGCGTTGCGTTCCCCCCCCTCCCCAATGGTCACCCCCCGTTGTCCAGTGGTTGGGTTGTGGTTGGGTGGGTGGGTGTGGTGGTTTAGGGTTGTTCTAGGGTGGGTTTATGGTTGGTTTAGGGTTGATTCAGTTTGCTCTAGGGTTAAATTTAGGGTTGAGGACTTGCAACACCAACTTGGAAGTTAGGGAGTTGGGATTTGTATCTTGAGAATATGTGCGCAGTGCCACAGCGAGAACGTTTCGACAGAGGGTCGATTGAGCGTTTTGAAAATCAGAAACAAAAAAGTGATAGGTCTTTAAGGTCAGAAGCAGGAAGAGCGCAAAGGTTTCACGAATTGTGCCAGGATCCGGGCGCCCGGTCTAGGGCCAGGGGGGCGAGGGGGGAGCTGGAGGACCCACATACCATTGGGGGAGCAGCAACACGAAACACGGGGCTATATGTGCATTTATTTATATGTTGGGCAGTACACTCAGTTGCTATATATGTACGGTATCTATATACACATATTATATATGTATATATTTACGTTACACATTGCACACATACACTATTAAGAACCACTACAATAATTCACAAACAGGAAGTAAGAATCAGACCCCTTGAGAGAAAAGTTCTTGCGCGGAGTCGCAACCTTTCCGGCACGGGATTTGTCCGGTATTTCCCCAACAGGACACGGGAAAATAGGATTGTTCCCCGAATGTCCTTCCCAAACCAACAGTAGACTACCTACCCTATAGTGCGAAACAATCAGTTGGCATACTTTTCAAAGCCTGAAACTCTAAATTGAAATAAATCGGAGGACCATACTAATCAGCAGTTGGTCTCCCTCCTTAGAGCAGATTTGTGTTACTTTGGGGGATCCCTCTCAGTATGTTCTTCTGAATTGGTCCAATGTTAGCAAATCACGTCAAGGCAGGTGCCTTAGCCTGATGAATCACTGTGGGTTCGGGTTTCCCAGGGCAAAGCAGATCTAAAAACGTAAATCCGTTGTGGTTCCCCATTCGACAGGAGGGCGCTTGCCGCAACTCAACAAGCAACGAACGACTAGACGAAAAAGCAAGAGTTCAGCATGTTGCCAAAACTCTTTTGTTGTTGGACTAACATGGTGATTCAGGTGAAAACATAAGCTTTACTATCCCCCAACCAAAGCACGGGGTAGAACCACCTACTAACTTGGGCGCTGCTCGGCAGGCAAAACCACAGCAAACTTGCCAGTCGCCCTGGTGGGGATCCTTCTCTCCTTTCTCGACCGGTTTCACCTCTTTCACAGGTCCCTTCCTTGTACCATCGAATGTGACTCCTGGTTCGCGTCAGGACCGTGTCCCGAACACGCATCGAGCTGAAACCGAACCGGTGGACCATGTCGTCCACGTACAAGCTGAGAGAATATCGGCAGTATCCCACACTAGTATCAGACTGTTTCCGGTCCTCAGAAGAGCGTGTCTGAACTCCTGTTGAGTCACACGGCGGCTGCGTTGTCTCCCGGCCGCCTCCCTGAAGCAACAGCGGTCTATCAGCTTATCTCAATTGGTGGCTTGGATTGGGTTTCAGGATAGTTTCTCATCTACCAACTACACAAACCAAGGGTTCAACTCCCCAAACCAATTCCAAACAACCAGTTAGGGAAAGACCTTAATCATGAGGCCCAACAATGGGGTTACACGGCGTTACACTCCAAGCCCCGCTTCACAGGATGAAAAAAGGTTTGCCTTCAAAAAAGGGGGGGCCGGTATTCCCCTCAAATGCCCCAAGAAACTTGCTGCTCCAAAACAAAATGTGTCTCTAAGAAACGGGCTCCCCCCAAAAAAACGGTCATGATTAGACTTAGGCCCAGTTATATAATGTATATTTTGTTGTTTGCTTCAATTTGAGCCACTGGTGAAATTGAAAAAATATCCTAAGTCTACCCCAGCGGTACTCGACCCAAGCCCTGCGAGGTCTACCGCCTGGGCGCCCCCGCAGCGCCCTCGTTGCCGCCGGAGGCCAACACCCGCAGCTCCTTGGACCAGGCGAGGCCACAGACCTGGCGCTACGGCCGAACCAGCCGGGACCCAGCCACCCGCGTTTTTTTGGTTCGGCTGGGTGATTTGGACGTTAGGGGCCACCTTGCCCGGTTGGTTTTTCTTGAGGAACTGGGATTCAGGTATCCCTGCATTGGTGGTTTGGAGTATTGCTGGCGTGCTTTGGTTGAATTGTACCCTGAGGTAGCTGTCCTTGGTTTCCTTTTGCGTCTTTTCAAGCGTGGTTGCGTTTTGGTGCTTAATTAGAGGGTGGTGTTTTTAGTAGTTATTCAAGGCTTCGTTTTGGTCTTAAATCAGGCAACCCCAAATTGGTGAATTGGTGGTTTGGAGTGGTTTGTGGATTAGAGACAAACCAAAATTCAGGTCCCTTGGTTACAATTCCGACTGATACAGAAACAAATGAACTAAATTGGGGTTCTCAGGCACAGTGAACAAAAAAAAAGGTCACGACAGTACCGTTTCTGGTTGTTCAAGCATCACCTTGTGGTTGCCAAGTTGAAATGAGTGCTCTCTATGTGTGAAGATAACATAAATTTCTCGAACCTTGTTTCTTCGTCAGGGTTTCAGCTACTGCCGCGGGCCCAAGGCTGGTCGCGCTTCTCAAAATAAAGAGTCAAAGAGCCCCTTGTGGAGTCAACAGGTATTGCCTCAAACAACTCCAGGCGTACTTTGGGGGGGGGTCTGCAAAACACGAGCAAACTTTTGCCCCCAACCAGCAGCTTCTAAGTCTCAGGGGAGCGTCCGCAAGACTTAGGGACCCGCACCTCCTCGGTATGGCCCTGCAGGTTTTGTACTGGACCTGGCTTCGACAGGGGAGAAGCGCAGTTCGATTGCATCAGAAAAAGACAACGCTCTGGGGCCAACATTGGTTACAGAAAACAGGTTAACATTAATGACTGTTGGGTTGGAGGCTGAGTGAAAGGAAAATCGAGGAACTCTACATCACATTGACAGCCTGAATTTTCTTTTAGGATGACAGCCGTCTTGGCTTGCTTTAGGAACCAAAGTCAACGTGCGCCCACTGGAAATAAGATAAATGGACCCCTATGAAAGAAACCTTCAGAACCCATGGTTATGACATCAACCACTTCCAAAAACTCCAGCGGTGGGAAGAAAGGGCATCCTTTTATTGGTACTTGACTTTTCGAGGAAAGACCCTCCCCAAAAAGCTGAAAAGGAAGCCACCCACTGGGTGTACGGGTCTCCTGGGGTGTGTCTTTTGGGGATCTCACTCGGGGGAGTGAGGGTGAGCCAATGCGTCTAGGCGCCCGGGCTAGGTGTCCGCATGTCCCAGCGAAAGATGTGGGTGTCCTTTAAACGGATCCGATTGACCCGTTGGCTTCCATTAGACCTGGGCTGTGTGTTTCGGAAAAATAGATGGCACTGCTATATGTATAGAACCAACTTGAAACTGCCATCCTTTACCAAACTGACCTAAAAGAACCCCTATGGGCTCCTTTCCAATGCTCCATGATTGTCCTTTGGATAGCAGAAGGACAGAACTACCCTTTCTCAGACCAACATGGAAGCTCCCAAAATGCCACCGTGGAACCAAGTCTTCCGTGCTGGGAGCTTCCATGGAATCGCCCGGGGGAAAAAGGTTCTCATTGAACCTTCGGGGGGTCCATTTCAACTCGCCGAGCTTCTTCTTGGGAAGCGGTTGGAGTGTGTTCCCAGGCCAAAACCTGCTAGAAAGGCTCGGTCGCCCAGTTTTTAGCGGCTGGACACACCAGAGGCAATGAGTTTTGCTTTCTATGGACCCACTAGGCAAATGCCGATGTTCACGTTGACCCAGGGGCTCCGCTGGAGCTGATATCTTCCTGGATCCTCGCTGTGCCTCGTCTTTCCAAGGGGAAAACCGCCTATGGAACAGGTCCAAGCAGCTCTTGCAACCCGTAGGCTGTAGCCGCAGGATAATACAACACTCACACATGTGTTTTGCTGGCTATTCAAGCGAGGGCCACTCAAAAACAGGAAGGATCTTTGACCCTGAGCTTGCTGATGGTGTCGCTGCCGGGTTGCTTGTCAGAGATTCATAGGGCTCCAACCTGTTTCTCAAAATCGGGGGACCCCTCCCGCCAATTGGTCTTCTGTTGGTTTGCTTTGAAATCATCCCAAAGGTTCCCGCTCCCCCTTTTGAGACAGACCCACCTAAACCCGGCCCAATGACACCTGCAGGAACCTCAATCCAAAAGCTGCGCCGGCACGAGGAATGCCCAAGAAACCTCAATCAGCTTTTCATATCAAACTTCACTGGAGTGAGGTCCTTCGTCCACCAGTTGTTGCTCCCAAGTGAATATATTTAGTCTAGATCGACGCGCTGATGCAACATGACTATTTCAGAGTGGATGGACAAAATCCATTCACATCACCTGAGAAACCATAGAAGGATGATTCCCCCGTAAATACCAACAAACAATGGTTCCAACCATGGTTTTAAAGTGGTGCCAACGGATTTCGTCCATCCACAGCGCCGGCGTCTCTTTCGTTTCGCCTTCCTGAAATCGGAGAGCCCTCTGGGGACTCGGGTCTGTCTTCAACCCAGGAATCTCCCCAAACAAAAAAAAGGTGGGCCCCCACGAAAAAACAACGATAAGACCAGTTTGGCTGCTTGTGTTGGTTTCCCCTGAACTTTTTGGGCACATAGAGTCTCCATACACTTGCAGAGGTCAACAAAACTCTAGGTACCGCGCCTTTTTTCCAAAATGGGTGTGTCTCTTTCTTATGAGACGCTCGCTCCAAAAATGGCGGCTCTCCTTGTGTTTCCCTTCAAAAACCTTTCGGTTTCCATTCAAAGCCCACAAAAAAAAATCCCAAAAAACTCCCAAAAACGAGACAGAAAGCGTACCAACTCCCCCAAAAACGACACAGAGATCCAGTCGCCCAAGTCGTAGCCAGCCCTCGACGACTCGAGCTCGACTCGGCCCGCTGAGCAGGGAGTCCTGGGATCCGCTGAAGAGGCTCGAGTCGGCCCAGGCCAGTGCACAGGTCCGCCTCGTGCTCGAGGACGACCAGAAGGGGGCGAGGCTTTTTTAAAGGCAAGGCAAATTCCAGAAGGTGTTTTTTTAAAGTTTTTTTTTTTTTTTAGGGGGGTAAGGCAAATTGAGAGAAGTGGACGGAAGTCACCTGGGGCTACCTTCCAATCTGAACCCAGTTGAATCTCAGGACACCAGCAAAAAAAGGATGGGGGAACCATCAAAAGCAATCAAAAGTAATTGACAGAAAACCTAGGTCCTCCAGTGGAGAGGTTAGAATAAAGACACCCTTTTTTCTGTAGTCTATTTTAGTAGAGGTTCGGAACCCTCCCCCCAAAAAGGGTAAAAGGGCACTACTGGGGGACCTAGTAACTGATTCCAAAAGGTTCGGCACTCGGTATGTTTGGACAGATGAACATGGAACCCACAGAAAAAGAGGTTGTTCTCGAGGAATCTCTAGGGAATCCCGGATGAAGTGATCTGTATTCCCACAAGGGGACGCCCCCCAATCAAAAATCAATCAGGGGAACAATCCAGGGTTAACATTATATCAGCTTCCCTTGAATTGGTGCCCAAAACCAATGCAAACCACCACCTGAGTCTACCAAGAGACCCACCAAAAAATCCCTAAACCATTTGGCCCAACTCTAGGGAAGCCAAAGAAAGCCACCAAACCAACTAGAAAGATCTCAAACAACTTTTCTGGGACCCCGGAACCCGAAGGACTGGTTGAACCCGTTGCGGCACCCTGAGTTCACATAACCCCCGGCCCACGCTTCAAACGACGCCCAAGCCCCGTGCCTCAAGTGGCCCTGGAGGCTCTGCACCTTCTGCCCCACAGAGGCGTCCTCTGAACGACCAATGGGGGGAGTGATATGGTTGTGGGTCAAAAATAGGGCGACCCCAATATTTGTGGGTGTCTCTCAAAATTCGACAGGAGGGGTTACGCAGGTTTTGGTCCATGTTTCCACTTACCAGGGTTCCATTTTGGTACCGGTTGTTTGAGCCACAGCCAAATGCAACCTTGGCAAATGGACTCAAGGACGAAAGCCTACGGCCCCCTGGTGGTTCAATTTTTTGACCCATACCCATCTCTGAATGGAGTTCCTTTTTGGGGCAGGGAAGCGACAGGAACCAGCTCATTTTGGTGGTACCAAAATGGCCAAATCCATCTCAATGGGGGATCTTGCGGACATCAACTAACTGTCCACCAACCACTTTTGAGATGGTTCCTTGTTAAAAACTCATCGCCATTTTGAGACCCCAGCTTCCTTCCTCAGCCCTTCCCTCGACTGAACGCTCCGCGTTCCGCGTGCGGTCCCAGATCTGCACTTCGCCATCCGCCAGGCCCAGGGCCACCCGATCAAACCTCGCAACGAGACGACTCATGACACGACCAGTGGGGCGCATGGGTCCTTTTTCAGGATTTGGCCCCCCCCAAGTAGGATGTTCGGTTTTCCTGTTGAAACTTCCTTTGATACCACTAACAAAAAGCAGTACCCTGGGTACACTCGGAAAGACACACGCACACACATTTAACCTTGAAGTCCCTGGTGGCCTTCAGACAGGCATCCTCTTGGCACAGGTGTGCAGGCGGCACACACACAAACACAGCCACACACGTGCACACAACAGCACGTGCGTGCTGGCTCTGACTTACTTGTTCTCAGAGAGCAACGACCCTTCTCCCCTTGCTCTGCACCAAACACAAGGCGTCGGTGTTGATTCCTTCCAATCTAAGACAACGAGATGTTGTGATATGTGTGGACAGCTGGGCAACAAACATGTTTATTGCTAGCAACTGCGAAGCACACTCCAATATGGAATCTGAAACCTACCCCTTCGTCAAAGCAGCTTTTTGCCAAGGATTGCTTTCCAAGTCAATATGCCTTTGTTGAACACTTCCTTCTGACAAGCAAACAATGGTTTGTGGCATGCAAATCCAGTGTCTATGTTTGTTAAACAGCCACACATCCTAGAGACAAATGGTGCGGCTCGCATGTCCATGCTATCACGGACTATACCGACTCTCACATGGGGCGACAAGCTCGCGGAAACCGGGCCCCTTCCATGTCAAGTGATCGAAGGCTAGCCTCCCCCAGAAGTCCACCAAACAAATGCGAGAAGGGGGGCACCTCACCCATGGTGCAAGACAACATTGGATGACGAACAACTCACTTCCTCAGTGGATTGCCTAAAGAATCTGAAATTGTTGTTTCCCACGGAGACACCCAGAAAAAGGCAAACAAGCGTGCAGAGTGGACACCGTACCTATCTTCAAGCAATAGGCCTGCTTGGTTGGCACATCACACATGCGGACCAAGGAATCTTGGCCGGTAGTTCTCACGGACAGTATTTTCTATCACCACACGTTCGTGCTGGGAAACTAAAGGGTCAGATCGGTCGACTCCCTTTGGGCAAGAGAGAGGATCCAAAGGCAGGATGCACAACTGGGCTGTCCTCAGATCCCTTGCCAAAAGTTTAACTTTTAGTGCGTGAAATGGAAACCCCCCTAAACCGTAAAAAGCTAAAACGCTAAGGGGATGGTTGGGAGCCAGCAAGACAATTCGCCATGCACCAAGTGTGCCGCATCCCAAAATGCCCGGCCTGCCAGCCTCATGTGACCAGCGAATGGAGGCCACCTCAAGAGGGACCCTCTGAGTGCAGTTGCGAACGCAACCTGAAAACCCACAGACACCCTCCCTTGCCGGCGGTTTTTGGACTTTTTTCTGAGTTGATGACTGTTTGCGGTCCAAGGTTCCTAACCCTACTTAGCAACCTACTTGAAGGGGCATTGCACTTAGTAAGCGGGCAATACCATGGTTGTAACCCACTTACCATGTTTATAAGCACAAGCGGTTCATAATAAGCTGGCTTACTAACCATTTACTAAGTACCCTGGCCCATTGAGTAGATACCAAGGCACCCTCAGTTCTCAGCTGGCGCTCGACCCAAACAAACATCCCCACTGTTCATCCGCAAAGCTTGGCCGTCGTACGCCACGAATGATCTTCAAGATAATGTGTCCATGCCTAGGTCTTCCGTCAGCACTTATTCCTGTATTTGTTCGCCCCAAAAAAGCTCAAACAAAAAAAGACATGCCAATTGGATTTTTTGTGGTGTGTGTCCGCCCACATCTTATCTTCTCCCGCCGATGTCCGCGCATTTCCGGGAGAAAACTGGACAAATCATGCTAAATCAAAGTTTCGCTCATTTCAATAAACATGTGCAGAGCCCCAAAAAGTGCTTTAGGGCGTTTCCCAAAAAGGCAGCCAGCAACCTGGACGACAGGCTTGGGTCACCTGTTTGAATGTGGTGGAGTTCTTCCATTCTCTCTCTGTCTCTCTCTCTCTCTCTCTCTCTTTCTCACTTTTCTCTTTATCTGTATGTTTTGTCCCTTTCTCTTTCTTCCCGCTGTCTTTCTAATTCGCTGTGTCTTTCCTCTTTGTCTTTATGCTCTTCTTTATCCTTCTCTTTTGCTTGCTCTTCCTCTTTATCTTTCTCTTTCTTCATCGTCATTATCTATATATTTATGTGTTCCGTTTCTCTTTCTCTGTTTCTTTTCTCTGCATATTTCACTTTACCTTTTTCTTTCCCTTGCTCCTACTATTATTATTATTGAAAGAGGTTCTTCTTATCTTGCTCTGTGTTTTTGTTAACATATTTATTTATATTATTATTTGTTTTCCTTGTGGTTCTCCCTCTCCGTTGCTGTTATCTGTATCTTTCTCGTCTTTTTCCTCCTTGTCCGTCTCTTTCTCTTGTGTGTTTCTCTTTATCCATAATTGCTCCTCATCTTCTTTATAATACTTATCCTTCTCTTTCTCTGTCTCCTTCTCTTTCCGTGTCTCTTTCTGTTTCTCTGTTGCTTTCTCCGTTTCTGACTATCTTTCTCTTTCGTATTCTCTCTCTCTCTCTGTCTCCTTATCCTTCTCTTTCTCGCTCCCTCTCACTCTCTTTATCTTTCTCCCAAAGCCTTATCGTTCTCTCTATTTCTCTTTCTATTGTGATTTACCTTATGTGTTGTTGTTCTCTCTTTATTTTGCCCTTTGTCTTCTTTCCTTGTCTTCCTCGCTCTGTCTCTCTCGCTCTCTTGCTCTCTCCCTCTATCTCTCTCTCTTTCTCTCTCTCGCTCTCTCGCTCTCTTTCTCTTTCTTTGTTTCTTTCTTGATTTACTGCCTTCCTTCCTTCCATCCTTCTCTCTGTTCTTCTTTCTTTAGTTCGTTCCGTTCTGTTTTCTTTCTTTCTGTCTTTATGTATTTCTTCTTTCCAGGTATTTCCTGACTTGTTTCTTTCTTTATATGTTTCCGTTCTTTCCTTTCTGTCTTTGTTGCTCTCACTCTCTCTCTCTCTATCTCTAGCCCGCGAAAAAGAACATGCAAATCCCCGAGTTTTCAAGGCTGACCCCCGAATTCCGCACGCGTTTTGCGGCGCGCTTTAGAATGCAACAACATTGTTTTTTAGTTTTAGCATCCACCTTCTGATTATTGCGCGCGCTTAACAAATGCAAACAGCCACAAGTTGTGTGAGTTCGACCCCCCAAAATTCCACAAAGTGTTGCGCGAGCGAGGTGAACGTGGGAAAACCACTTTTTTTCAGGGTCGACCCACCCAAAGTCCGCAGACACCAATTGAACTTTGCGCTCCAAAAGTGGTTTGTATTCCCACTGAAAGGGGGACACCCGGTGACTCCCATCTCTCAAAATCCGCCGGGGGTTCTGCTTCCGGGGCTGTCTAGCGCTCGAGCCTCCGGGCCGGTCGGTCTAGCTCGCAAAGCCTCGAAGCCCGGCCTCAAGAAGCACAGGATGGCTCGCTCAAGTGGCTCGCTGGTCTTTCGCGGGGACAACTGAAAGGAGAACCACCAAATTGGCAGGCGCACCAACAAAAAGACACGCCATCACCTCAAGACTTTGGGCCTTCGTGCCTTTTTTGATGGCTAGGGAAGAAAGGAAACCAACCGCCTGAATCTTGAGAAGCACAATAAAACGGCCAACTGATAGGGGCCCTTGGAAAACGAGAGGGGCCCTCCCAGAACCAATTACCCTGGTCTTGTTCGTTGCTCAAATTCCCAAACGCAGTAACATGGCACCTAGAAAGTCCCGGGAGAAAACAATGCCCCAAGGCTTCAAAGCAAAGATTGCGTCGTGTTTTTTCTTTTTTCTTTACACAAATAAACTGTGTTTTTTTGTTTTTAATGTTTCGGGTTTATTTGAGGGGAACACCCAAACAAAACCCAAACGAGCGCCGGATAATTTATCTAAAACTGCCTTAGCGAAAGGGATATCAACCAAACGAGGAGTCCTTAAAATGTATGCAATCTTGGGTTTCCCCCTCGCACCTCAAAACAAATGAGAGCACCCAATCAGGGCTCAGGAACCGGTTACACACAGGGTGTTTAGGTACAGGGAAGTTGATGAAAACATGGCAGACCTTGACCTATGTTTCCTTCAAACAAGTTCTTGTACTTACATTCCGAATCAATTGTTTAAGCACCCTTGGGGACTCGCTTTGTCTACTGCGCTCTCTTTCTCAATCCCAATTTGAACCTTTTGGTGGGTCAGCGACAACTGTGAAACAAATTCGAGCCGGCTGTTAAACCTGCGAAACCAAAGATCCAACTACCGGATCCCGTCTCCTATGGTCAGTTTCTCCGCGTGAAAGATCCAGCTTTGCATCCTCCCAACTAAGGCCAGAAAGAGAAACTCTCGGTTCATCCCCACGACGACCCCAAAAGCCTCAAACTTCTTAGTGGGTGTGGCTGAAATTTAAGGAGCTAGGGTTACGCAGGTTCTCGTACATTGATTTGAGCCACAGCCATTTGTGGGGCCAAAGAACACCAGCGCTTCCGCGCTGAGCGCCTGGGGCCGGGAGAACGGCCTTGCTGGTAGCACGCGAGCAAACGGTAACATCCTGTGGCAGTGCTTCTTGAGTCTTCGGTCAAACAAAGCAAATGCTGCCCTTGCAGCAGCACCTGCTTGTATTGACAGAAAATACAGGAACCACTGACTTCTTACTATGTTTGTTGGTACTCATTGGAATCAGAATGAGAAGCCTCCAGTTGACCAAACACTCAAGGTCGATGGTGAAAACGCGGGAAGTGCCTGTGAAGCCAATTCTTTGTCCAACCAAGTCGGTCGCGAGTCGCAGCTGCTCCTTCTCCATGTTGCTCTCCCAAGAGCACAGGTGGACTGAGGTGTAGCAGAAGTGCACGTTTTAGTGAGATCGAAGACGCGGCCTGGATGCGAAAGGTCTGTGAATAGCCAGCCAAAGAAAAACAAGACGTTCAATTCATACTAGATCCAAATGCCTTGGCGCCCGAATGTGCGGCTATGACACCACCCCGCCCGCTTCCGGTGCAAATTGAAACCGAGACATGAGCTTGAATTCACATCATACGTGGCTGCGGCTCGGTGATTCTCGTGAACAGGCACATCCCTGTTTTGCACCAAGGGGAAACAAAAGAAAGCCAACCCTCGAAAACACGAACATTCAACCACATTCGCAAGGTCCGCTCCAGGAAACTTGGAGCTATCTGCACCCTGCTCGCCTTTCTTAACATGGAACCCAAACCGGTTGCTCCTTAGCGACCGACACCCTCGTGGGCTTCGGGCTATGTCACCGCCATCCAACTGCAGGAATTGGTCCATCCACATAGCGCCATGGTCAGCCTGGGTTCTTCCCCTATGTGGGTATCCTTTTGGATGGCCCATCCGAATAGGTGACATCCATCTTCCCAAGTGGCCTGACCCTTCCCCTTTCGGGCACCCCGGCCGCTGAAGGCGTTCCAAAGGTCCACGCTGCTGCCAAGTCCTCGGCTCCCGAGCGAGCGCTCCGCCAAAAGCTCGAGAAACACGCACAGACGGAGCCCCCACCCAAAAACGCGGCGAAACACACGTAAACAGGTGGCAGTTCACACCGAGAAACCTTGGAAACACCGCAAGCCCTAGCACGCAACCAAGTTTTTGGGCACCGGGGGGAGCGTAAAGTATGAAAAGAGGTTGGGGCAGTTTGAGCAACATGGGACCAGATTAACAAAAAGTACATTCCCAGTCCCGAGACACAAGGCGCAGGGGCATGCATAAACCAAAGCGATGATGCCGAACAAGAAGGACCAGCGCGGTACACGCGGTTCAAGCGAATCAATCACTTGCCTCACAGCCATTGAAAATGCCGGGCGGGCGGGGGTGGGGGGTTGCCCAAAAAAGGGGGCTTATTGAAAGCACGCCATTCGATTGCTTTGTTTAAACAGCTCTACGTAAAAGCCATCAGGGTCCGAACACCAGCCCCACCAATACAAACACCGTCATCACCACCTTCACCAGCATGAACAAACAATACAAGACCGAAACACATAATGAAAAGTTGAAGAAAGCAAGGCATGAAGACGGGAGAAATGATGTCCACAAGTAATGAAATGCGTGATACATGACTAACAAAATACAGAAAGCAACGGAACGGACAAAGAAACTAAGCAAAAACAGCCAGACAGGAAGAATGAAGCAACACATCAAAGACAAAATATTTGTTTGTTCTTTCCGTCTCTACATCTTCATGGCATTTCCATCTTCATGTATGTATATGGCAGTTGATCAATATTCCTGTTTCCGGAAAACGCCATCTTCGCAAGAAAAAAAGCTTCTTTCGCGAATCTTTCGCGACTCCATCGCGACGCCCTTTTGTTTGCAGCGTTCACTCTGGAGCCATTGTGGCTGCTGCAGTTATGCTTGCAAACACGGTAGCCGCATTTCACTTGCGTGCAGTACGTAGTGTTAAGTGCAAGCAGTCACCGTCATTCGCCCTTGCCCCTTGCGCTTGCCGGCGATGCGCGGAGACTTGCAACAAGCTCCCTGGCCTTTCGCCGGTCTTTCGCGGATCTTTCGCGAAACTTGCTCCAAAATAGCCCAGCCAACGTTATTGATTTGCACCATTCCCAACACAGGCAGGGAATCAATAATGCAAGTGTAGGTGCTGCGTATCTCCCTATCTAAAAGGGGGCGGGGTCTGCAAATATGTAAGTGCACAGGCATGCCTACAAGAATCCAACGCGGAATCTTTCGCGAATGTTTTTTTCGCGAACTCCATCGCCGATCTTTCGCGGAGGAGTTTAAGCCAAGACGAATGGTCACCGAATGCATAACTCCTTGCAAGGACCTTTTGATCAACCCCCATATATGTTTCTTTTTCCCCGTGAGGTGTGTCGTCATTTACTTGTCAGTTTATGTGTGTTTTCAGAAACCCGTTCTTTCGTTTGGTATTTGCTTCTTTGGAACCGCTGTGTTGTCTTTATTTATTGTCCTTATTTGGTTCTTTCTGCCTTGATTGTTCTTTATTTCGCCGTTCATTCTTTCTTCTTGTTGTTTTTGTTGTTTGCTGTCCTTACTTATGCTGCTTACTTGTGTTGAACGCACGTATCGATTGTTGTGTTTTGTTGCGTTATTGTTTCATGCGTTCCTGTCGTTCTTCTTCCGTTATTTCCGCATTCATTGAGTCATAGTTGTTTATCTATTCATTTATGTGTTATTCGTTGCTTATTTATCAAGTTCTGCATACATTTATGTTGTTCTTTATTTCTATCTATGTTGCAGTGCGTCTAGCTTTTCTACAAATTTGGTTTGTTTTTGATTTTGCGTGCCTTTCTTGATGCCTTGTCATCAACGAGACAATCAATGAAGAATAAACAGCTAAATACTAAGTTTCGGAGCTGAAGGAAGGTCGGATGGAAGAAATGAATAACTAATGAACACAATGCAGACATAAACACATATACTGAAATCCACCAAGGAAGAAATAAGGATTCAGTGCAAACAGCAGTAAGTCGGAATAAACTGAACAAACCGAGAAACGGAGAGAGAGGAAATTGAAACTGAAAGAAAAAGACAAAGACAAAAACAAAACACAATAACAGAAAACACCAAAAATAAAAAAAACACAAGCAACCCGAAAGGCCAGCTGGAAACTCCGGGATTTGAGATGATCTGGGTGGCCGAACCCACTGCAAGGTTATCCTCCGCCGACCAGTCGAGCACGTTCAGGTAGTAGTCGTCCTACCCGAGCCGGTGAGAAAACACAAGGATCCGAAGCATGGGCGTGTTTTAAAACAGGAGGATCCTCAAAATGGCGGTTTTCCTTGTGGTTTTCCGTTAAAAGCCACCAAACAAGGGCTACCCTCGACAAAAGCAAACCAACCCGTAATCCACGAATTGAAAATAAAGGACAGCTCCTGCAAAGCGCCTTGAGGACATGGGTAAGCTCGATTTACGCTCGAGGCTCGAACCAGATTCATCCGCTGACCAAACATCGTGGGCCCGCACTTTGCCCTTTGAACATCGAGCCAGAAACGAGCAGGTGGGGCAGGAAAGAGCGGTCAACATTGTGGAAAGTTAACCCTTTACTTGGTGGTCCCAGCCATCCCCTTGGCTTTTTTGGCATGTTTTCCTCTTTTTAGGGTTTAGTGGGGGTTTCCATTTAACGCACCAAAAGTTAAACTTCGCCCAGATTCTGTAATACCAGTAGAGCCGGCGAAGCCGGTGGGCGGAAGTTTCAAAAAAACAAAAACAAAAGTTCTCTTTCTCTTTCTTTTCTTGACTCTTCTCTCTTCTTCTGCCTATTCATTGTTTCTTTTTTCTCCGTCACTCTTCCTTTCTTCCTTTCTTTCCTTCCTTCCTCCCTTCTTTCCTTCTTTCTATCTGTCTTTTCTTTCTTTCTTTCGTTTGCTTGCTTTTGTGCTGTTCTTTCTTTTGTCTCTTCTCTGTCTATCTATCTGTCTATCTATCCATCTATCTATCTTTCTATCTTTCTATCTATCTATCTATCTATCTTTTGTTTAATCTATCTACCTATCTATCTGTCTGTCTGTCTATCTACCTCTGTCTCTCTCTCTATCTGTCTATCTTTTTACCTCTATCTATCTATCTATCTCTCTATCTTCATATGTATCTATCTATCTATTTACCTCTCTATCTATCTATCTATCTATCTAATTTATTTCTCTATCCAGCTACCTATCCAGCTATCTATATCTCTATCTCTCTTTCTATCTATTTATCTACCTATCTCTCTGTCTATCTATCTATCTATCTGTCTATCTATCTTCTGTTGGTTTATCGATCTAACTATTTATCTCTCCATCTATCTCTCTATCTCTCTATCTCTTTCTTTCTATCTGTTTATCTCTCTATCTCTTTCTCTATCTCTATCTATCTATCTATCTATCTATCCATCTATCTCTCCATCTATCTCCCGCGTGTCTATCTATCTATCTATCTATCTGTTTATCTCTCTATCTATCTATCTCTATCTATGTATCTCTATATCTCTCTATGTATCCCTCTGTCTACCTATCTATCTATCTCTCTCTACCTGTCTATCTATCTATCTATCTATCTCTTTATCTCATTATCTTAAGTGTGTTTATCCATCTCTCCATCTCTCTATCTATCTGTATGTATTTCTAATTATCTTTTGATCTACCTATCTATCCATCTCTCTATCTACCTCTCTATCTCATTCTCTCTACCTATCTATCTATCTACCTCTCTATCTACTCATCTATTTATCTATCTATTTATGTATGTCTCTATCTATCTACCTACCTATCTATCTCTCTCTCTCTGTCTCTGTTTCTATCTATTTATCTATCTCTCCATCTATCTATCTATCTATCTGTCTATCTACCTATCTGTCTGTTTATCGTTTATCTATCTATTTATTTATCTCTCTATCTCTCTATCTATCTATCTCTTTTTCTATCTATCTATCTATTTATCTATCTCTCTTTCTTTCTATTTATCTATCTCTCTATCCTCTCTCTCTCTATCTCTCTATCTTCTAGCCCTCTCTCTATCTATCTATCTATCTATCTCTCTATCTCGGTATCTCTCTGTCTATTTATCTGTCTATCTTGCTCTCTGTCTCTCTCTCTTTGTATCTATCTATGTAGCTATCTCTCTCTCTCTATCCATCTATCTTTCTGTCTCTTTCTCTATCTCTTTCTATCTATCTCTCTATCGATCTATCTATCTATCCATCTATATCTGCACTTAAAAGTTGCGATTTTCAAGCCCCAGCTGCGAAAGTGGACTTCACGTACTACTTTCGTACTTAAAAGTTGCGATTTTCGAGCCCCAGCTGCGAAAGTGGACTTTGCGTACTACTTTCGTACTTAAAAGTTGCTGCGAAAGTGGACTTCGCGTACTACTTTCGTACTTAAAAGTTGCGATTTTCGAGCCCCGGCTGAGTTGACCTTGCAAAAGTGCTGCGCCTGCCACGAAATCTGTACTTGACCTTGCGAAAGTGCCGCGCCTGCCACGAAATCTGTACTTGACCTTGCGAAAGTGATGCGCCTGCCACGAATTCTGCACTTGACCTTGCGAAAGTGCTGCGCCTGCCACGAATTCTGCACTTGACCTTGCGAAAGTGATGCGCATGCCACGAATTTTGCACTTGACCTTGCGAAAGTGCTGCACCTGCCACGAATTCTGTACATGACCTTGTGAAAGTGCTGCGCCTGCCACGAAGTCTGTGCTTGACCTTGCGAAAGTGCTGCGCCTCCACGAAATCTTTACTTGACCTTGCGAAAGTGCTGCGCCTGCCACGAAATCTGTACTTGACCTTGCGAAAGTGCTGCGCCTGCCACGAACTCTGCACCTGACCTTTCGAAAGTGCTGCGCCTGCCACGCAATTCAAACCTTGGGAAAACTTGACCTTGCGAAAGTGCTGCGCCTGCCACGAAATCTGCACCTCACCTTGCCAAAGTGCTGCGCCTGCCACGCAATTCAATCCTTGCGAAACCTCTGCGCGTTGCCGTGCCAATGGGCCCGCGCTCCGAGCATGGTCCGAGACTGCCCGAACGCGCTCCGAACGCGCTCCGAGCGCGCTTCGACCAGGCGCCGCGAACAGGCTAGCTTCTAGCTCTCCGGAGACACCAATTCACGCACGGGGCCACGCTTTTTGCAGATTCCTTACTCAGTAAGCGCGCACATATTTTCTCGCGTGCTTATTCCTTCTCTTCATCTGTCTCAGCGAGAGCTGGCTTTCAATTAGGAAGTTCCTTCTAAACTTCCTTTGACCAAAATGGGCAATCCCCATGCTTTGTCACCTTGGAAGGGTCCCCTTGGCCACAGAAATCGGCAACTTAAACCCTATTTGTGGCCAACTGACCCAAATTGTGGTTGCAACAGCGGAGTTAGTCAGATTCCCCAATGTCTCATCATACCCCCAAAATGGGGGGGGCTTTCCTTTGGGTTTCCTTCTTAATCAAGGTGAAAAGAGTACCTTCAAGAACTACACACACACAGAGATTCGTTCAAAACGGAGCCTTGGGACTGTACAAGTAGCACCACCCCAAAGCTCGTTTTGACATCGGCCACCCCCAAAAATCCTGACATCCACAACAGAGCAGCTTAAAATGGCTCCTGCCTGAGTATTACTTGAAGGGGCCAAGTTGGCGAGTGATTAGTCGGCCAAAACTCTCTAAATACACTCAAAAGCTGTGAATCTGAAGTACTGCACGTGATTCTATATGCCATTCTCAAAAATCCGTGCGTGGATCATCGACATGGTCGCCTCAAAAGCTGGCTCACGGCACATATGGGCATGTGACACCCCGAAACGGCTTCGATTTTCCGTTTGGATTTCATCTCACTTCTTGAGTGGGTTGGCCAAAGAAAAAGAAGTCCCCACCATGTTATTTAACACTGGAATGAACTCTTCCCGAAACGAAAAACGCATATCTCTAGCGGTTGATTCCCCATTATTTTCAGCCATCCTTCTTTTCAAAAGCCAGCCATTTCCGGGTTTTTGGTCTTCCAGAACGAAAAGTCCCAAAGAATGGGGCAGCTAGCCCTAGAAAAGTGGAACCCTTCCCAAGAACAAGTTGAAAGGAAGCAACCCACTAAACCACCTGCGGCTCACTAAGCCGTTGCAGAAACTCGGACGTCGGAGTTTCCGATCACATGCCTCGAGGTTCGGAGCGGACAAGACCTGGAAGCTGAAACCGGGCTCTCGGCTTTCAGATCTGCAAGTGCGCAAGTGCATAAGGGGAGAAATCCACGAAAAACCGCTCAAAAACACCGCCAAAAGCGAAAGGGGACGGCGTTTCGTGGGTTACAGTCAGAAACCCAACCAACACAAAACCGCCAAAAGCCGCCAAAAACCAAAGGGGACGGCTTTTTTAGTGACTTAAACTCGGAAACCCAACCACGAAACCAACCAAAGGGATCTAAAAAGCCAGGGAACCGGATGGCTGGGAACCGCTAAGTCCAAGGGGAGATGGGTGTGGAAACGTCGTCCTTTGAAGCTTCCTTTTAAAACCCATCAAAAAAGGGGTACGGAGGCTCAAGAAAAAGACAGACCATGGTTTTGCTTGTCCTTCGAAACTAATCCAAACGGGGGTCCTTCAAGACACAAACTGGCGAACTCCGCAAGGACTGGATGCAAATTCTGTGCTGGGCCCGTTCACTACTTGGATGGTTTGGGGCGCTGAATCCTTAGCACCCCCAATTCCAATGGTTTACAGGCTGACTTCCTGAGTGGATTGGCAACAAAACAAGTCCCAACTTTTTATTTACCACTAACATGGTCTTGCCAACAAAAACGAAGTACAAAGTCCAGGAACTCGGGAAGTGAGTGGAGTCAGTAGGGTGTCTAACAGTGGGATGACTGCCTACAACAACTTCTTAGCTAATTCCAGAACGGTCGCAGGCACAGTTGAGCTGAAAGGGGGCCAGGTGTGACTGTGCGAAGTGGGTTCCTTTGGTGGCCTTCAGGGATACCTATAGTCCTCCAACACCGTCCTGCGCACATACCCAAGAAAAATCATCTCGTGAAGTTGAGACGGGTGTGGATGCCCTGTATTTTTTTTAAGTTGCTTCCAGTCACCTCGCCTTTAGGCTGGGGCTATGGACCCATTCAGGCTTGCGGGCTTGAGGGTCTGGATCCCATTCCTCGCCTTGTAGGGCGCCTGCGGGAACTTCCTCTGGACCTGGCGAACATGTTGCAAACCAAAGGGGACAAACCCCGAAGCGAAAGGAACAATTGGGAACCCAAAGGAGACACATGGGGAAGTTTTTAACACCTGTGGATTTAACACCCGGGAAGTTGAAAACACATGGGGAAATTGTCCTAGGAGAGAAGACCTGGGGAACCAAATGGAGAAATTATGTTGGTACCAAAAGTATGGGGGGCTTGTCCTTTTGGTTCCCCTTTAAAACCACCCAAAGAGAAGGTAGCCTGAAAACGACACACCATGTACTGATTAAGAGCCATAGCAAGAGAGTCATTGCTTCTCCTTCAGAACCACAAGAGCGGGAGGGAACTCAAAAGGTGCTGCATTTGCTTGCGCATGTTCCATGCAGTTCAATTGTTGATGTTCAAACTAAAAAGCAAGTACAATTCCCGCAAGGTGATACCCTCCCACGCTGCCATAGGACCAGGACATGACAGTTGGTTTGAATCCAGTGCTCGCAAAACGACAAATGTGGTGCTCCCCAAACAACAACCGTTGGTTTTTCTCGTCCTGGTAGCGGCACAACGCCGCAAAAAGAGACAACCCTTTCTATGGGCACTTGTCGAATAGGGGTCCGGGACCCAACATGTTTGTTGTCCTGTTGGTTTCCCTTTAGACAAACCCGAACATGGTACCCTCAAAACACACACCCACACGTGCCAGCCGGAGTGGTTCAGAGCAGCGCTCAGGAAGTGTTCTGGAGGGTTGCAGGGGGTTTCGGGGCTGTTCTGGGCCTCTTGGGCTGGTTTAAGGGTTTCAAAGGAAAACCACAAGGAATGCCCAAGCCTTTCTGGGCGTCCTCTTAAAAACACACCCAAATGATGATGTTGTGAAATCTCTAGGGGTGGGTACAAGTTGGGTCTCCCCCTCTCTCTCTCTCTCTCTTTCTCTCTCTCTCTCTCTCGCCTTGACCGGGGACTCCGCGCAAGTGCTGCCCGTTAGCAGCGAGCAGTCGTCCTCCCAACTTCAGCTAAGGTGGACATGGACTGATTGGTTTAAGGGATCCCCTAACCATCCATTTGGGTGTGGTGCTGTTTCAGGGTACCCTTTTTGGGGTTGTGTCAACGGAAAACCACTGGAACATGTCTTACGTTACTTCCATTTGCTAAAAGATGTTTAGTTTCCCGTATTGGATCTAAAGGGAATCTATCACGACTACAGCGAGTAGTGGTGATTCTTGCAGTGGCCTTGACTCGCGAGCTGTGCCCGTAGAGCTCAAATTCCCAGTCTGCAACCAAGGCCATTCGAAACAAGGAAAGGGTATTTTTGTTCGCACGTGAGATGCAAGGAACCCTCCAAAAAATTGACTTGGTCCACTAAAGCGACATCCTCAAAGCAATTCGCTCAACGGTGGTTTCGATTGAATCCATCCCCAAAAGTAACTTTGAGAACCCCTCCAAATGTTCACTCTAAGGGACCCCTCGACAAATACACAAATCGACATGCCATTTTGCAGGTCTGACGCGTTCCAAGATACGACCAAGTGCGAGCCTCGTTCTTCCGCCGGTACCGGAAGAGGCCCCTTTCCGGGGTGCGCAACAGCGTCTCCTCCCTGGCCGGATGGGAGTCACCGTGCCCAAAAGGAGATGCACATCTGAAACAAGCAGGGACTCTTGGGTTCCAGGATAATCTGGGGACCGTTTGGTGGGATTCCAACAAGAAACAAATATTGGGTTCCAGGATAATCTGGGGACCGTTTGGTGGGATTCCAACCAAAAACAAATATCGGGTTCCAGGAGAAAATCTGGGGACCGTTTGGTGGGATTCCAACAAGAAACAAATATTGGGTTCCAGGTTAATCTGGGGACCGTTTGGTGGGATTCCAACAAGAAACAAATATTGGGTTCCAGGATAATCTGGGGACCGTTTGGTGGGATTCCAACCAAACAAATATTGGGTTCCAGGTTAATCTGGGGACCGTTTGGTGGGATTCCAACAAGAAACAAATATTGGGTTCCAGGTTAATCTGGGGACCGTTTGGTGGGATTCCAACAAGAAACAAATATTGGGTTCCAGGATAATCTGGGGACCGTTTGGTGGGATTCCAACAAGAAACAAATATTGGGTTCCAGGATAATCTGGGGACCGTTTGGTGGGATTCCAACCAAACAAATATTGGGTTCCAGGTTAATCTGGGGACCGTTTGGTGGGATTCCAACAAGAAACAAAAACAAATATTGGGTTCCAGGTTAATCTGGGGACAGTTTGGTGGGATTCCAACAAGAAACAAATATTGGGTTCCAGGTTAATCTGGGGACCGTTTGGTGGGATTCCAACAAGAAACAAATATTGGGTTCCAGGTTAATCTGGGGACCGTTTGGTGGGATTCCAACAAGAAACAAATATTGGGTTCCAGGATAATCTGGGGACCGTTTGGTGGGATTCCAACAAGAAACAAATATTGGGTTCCAGGGAAATCTGGGGACCGTTTGGTGGGATTCCAACCAAACAAATATTGGGTTCCAGGTTAATCTGGGGACCGTTTGGTGGGATTCCAACAAGAAACAAATATTGGGTTCCAGGATAATCTGGGGACCGTTTGGTGGGATTCCAACAAGAAACAAATATTGGGTTCCAGGATAATCTGGGGACCGTTTGGTGGGATTCCAACAAACAAATATTGGGTTCCAGGATAATCTGGGGACCGTTTGGTGGGAGAAACAAATATTGGGTTCCAGGATAATCTGGGGACCGTTTGGTGGGATTCCAACAAAAACAAATATTGGGTTCCAGGATAATCTGGGGACCGGGATTCCAACAAGAAACAAATATCGGGTTCCAGGGAAAATCTGGGGACCGTTTGGTGGGATTCCAACAAGAAACAAATATTGGGTTCCAGGTTAATCTGGGGACCGTTTGGTGGGATTCCAACAAGAAACAAATATTGGGTTCCAGGATAATCTGGGGACCGTTTGGTGGGATTCCAACAAGAAACAAATATTGGGTTCCAGGAGAAAATCTGGGGACCGTTTGGTGGGATTCAAATATCGGGTTCCAGGAAAATCTGGGGACCGTTTGGTGGGATTCCAACAAGAAACAAATATTGGGTTCCAGGTTAATCTGGGGACCGTTTGGTGGGATTCCAACAAGAAACAAATATTGGGTTCCAGGATAATCTGGGGACCGTTTGGTGGGATTCCAACAAGAAACAAATATTGGGTTCCAGGAGAAAATCTGGGGACCGTTTGGTGGGATTCCAACAAGAAACAAATATTGGGTTCCAGGTTAATCTGGGGACCGTTTGGTGGGATTCCAACAAGAAACAAATATTGGGTTCCAGGTTAATCTGGGGACCGTTTGGTGGGATTCCAACAAGAAACAAATATTGGGTTCCAGGAGAAAATCTGGGGACCGTTTGGTGGGATTCCAACCAAACAAATATTGGGTTCCAGGTTAATCTGGGGACCGTTTGGTGGGATTCCAACAAGAAACAAATATTGGGTTCCAGGATAATCTGGGGACCGTTTGGTGGGATTCCAACAAGAAACAAATATTGGGTTCCAGGAGAAAATCTGGGGACCGTTTGGTGGGATTCCAACCAAAAACAAATATTGGGTTCCAGGTTAATCTGGGGACCGTTTGGTGGGATTCCAACAAGAACAAATATTGGGTTCCAGGTTAATCTGGGGACCGTTTGGTGGGATTCCAACCAAATATTGGGTTCCAGGAGAAAATCTGGGGACCGTTTGGTGGGATTCCAACAAGAAACAAATATTGGGTTCCAGGAGAAAATCTGGGGACCGTTTGGTGGGATTCCAACCAAACAAATATTGGGTTCCAGGTTAATCTGGGGACCGTTTGGTGGGATTCCAACAAGACACAAATATTGGGTTCCAGGTTAATCTGGGGACCGTTTGGTGGGATTCCAACAAGAAACCAAATATTGGGTTCCAGGAGAAAATCTGGGGACCGTTTGGTGGGATTCCAACCAAAAACCAAATATTGGGTTCCAGGAGAAAATCTGGGGACCGTTTGGTGGGATTCCAACAAGAAACAAATATTGGGTTCCAGGAGAAAATCTGGGGACCGTTTGGTGGGATTCCAACCAAACAAATATTGGGTTCCAGGTTAATCTGGGGACCGTTTGGTGGGATTCCAACAAGACACAAATATTGGGTTCCAGGTTAATCTGGGGACCGTTTGGTGGGATTCCAACAAGAAACCAAATATTGGGTTCCAGGAGAAAATCTGGGGACCGTTTGGTGGGATTCCAACCAAAAACCAAATATTGGGTTCCAGGAGAAAATCTGGGGACCGTTTGGTGGGATTCCAACCAAGAAACAAATATTGGGTTCCAGGTTAATCTGGGGACCGTTTGGTGGGATTCCAACAAGAACAAATATTGGGTTCCAGGTTAATCTGGGGACCGTTTGGTGGGATTCCAACCAAAAACAAATATTGGGTTCCAGGTTAATCTGGGGACCGTTTGGTGGGATTCCAACCAAACAAATATTGGGTTCCAGGTTAATCTGGGGACCGTTTGGTGGGATTCCAACCAAAAAACAAATATTGGGTTCCAGGAGAAAATCTGGGGACCGTTTGGTGGGATTCCAACCAAAAAACAAATATTGGGTTCCAGGAGAAAATCTGGGGACCGTTTGGTGGGATTCCAACCAAACAAATATTGGGTTCCAGGAGAAAATCTGGGGACCGTTTGGTGGGATTCCAACCAAACAAATATTGGGTTCCAGGAGAAAATCTGGGGACCGTTTGGTGGGATTCCAACCAAACAAATATTGGGTTCCAGGAGAAAATCTGGGGACCGTTTGGTGGGATTCCAACCAAACAAATATTGGGTTCCAGGAGAAAATCTGGGGACCGTTTGGTGGGATTCCAACCAAACAAATATTGGGTTCCAGGAGAAAATCTGGGGACCGTTTGGTGGGATTCCAACCAAACAAATATTGGGTTCCAGGAGAAAATCTGGGGACCGTTTGGTGGGATTCCAACCAAACAAATATTGGGTTCCAGGAGAAAATCTGGGGACCGTTTGGTGGGATTCCAACCAAACAAATATTGGGTTCCAGGAGAAAATCTGGGGACCGTTTGGTGGGATTCCAACCAAACAAATATTGGGTTCCAGGAGAAAATCTGGGGACCGTTTGGTGGGATTCCAACCAAAAAACAAATATTGGGTTCCAGGAGAAAATCTGGGGACCGTTTGGTGGGATTCCAACCAAACAAATATTGGGTTCCAGGAGAAAATCTGGGGACCGTTTGGTGGGATTCCAACCAAACAAATATTGGGTTCCAGGAGAAAATCTGGGGACCGTTTGGTGGGATTCCAACCAAAAACAAATATTGGGTTCCAGGTTAATCTGCGGGGAAGTACCGTTTGGTGGGATTCCCCCCCAAAAAAAGGGAAAAGGCCGAAAGTCTCTTGAGTTCAAAAGCCAAGTGCGCTGGCTGAACCAAACCCGCGCTAAGGCGTGGGGTGCTTTACTCAGTTCCCAAGTTGGCCACCCCAACGCGGGTGCATCTTTCTTTGAGGGAACCCTTTGTTGGCTGGTTTAAAGGGAAACCCAAAGGAGAACCGCCTTTTTGGGGGACCCCCTGAACAACGACACACCTACATTGTGACACAACTGCAACGCTTTAAGCATAGCATTCGATGAATCACATCGATGGCTTCCCAAGGCCCAAATCGATGTCAGAGAGAAGGAGAGTCCCTCCCACAAATATGGGTGTGCCTTAGGGGAAGCTTCTAGTTTCCCTTTCAAACCACTCCATAAATATCTAGCCCTGTAGCCCTGCTCGCGAGCCTCCGACCAGCGCCTTGTTACTGTAGGAGTTTAGGCTAAAAGCAACTCACGTGTCCGAGCCTGATGGTACTTTTGCCTCAGCAACCTTGCCGGGTCTCTACAAGAACCAAATATTCTGCAGCCCATGCCGTAGACACTTTCGCCGCCAGTGCTCCTCTCCAACATAGGACTGACGAATTAGGAAGACTTGTTCCATGCTGGCACTGGGAAGCCTTGAGATTCACTTTTGCACCTGGGGCATTTCCTCCGTTGTCCTTGATCACACACGTAGCCTTGTCCGCTTCATCCTTCTTCGCCATCTGCGCCAAAGTTGCAGCAATGCTAGTCTTGCCATGGTCCACATGGCGGGCCAAGATCCAGCCCTGGCCATCGCGTCGCCTGAGGGCGACGCGCGCCCAGCTCACGTCCTCGCCAACCCCTGGAGTTTCCTGGAGCCCCGGTGCCGAACCCTTTAGGGGCCCTCATGCTGCGCTTGCTCGCAGGCCTTGTCAGCAAAGAGTTGTTTGGGTATGGAATGTTGAAGATACAGAGCTCATGTGTATATATATATATACCACATGTATTGCTGCTATGTGAGCTCCGATGAAAATGAATGTCCCCAAATGACATGGGACTTTGGTGAGCAATCCCCATTTCCTTGCTCAAGTCCCCTGCAAAAACTACCTACTCCCTGTAGTGATAGAATCCCTTTAAAACCAACAGGGGAAACCAAAACATGTTCTTGAGCAAATGGAAGTTGAGGGAACCCTGAACAGAACTGGTTTCCCAGTGATTTCCTTTTCGACACCCCAACAAGGGTACCCTCAAACAACGACACACCCTC